AAGAGATATGGCTTTACTAAAGTGAAATTATTGTAATAAAATAAAAATGGTGTGTGTTGTTTTAAATAAGTCGTTCTAAAGTCTACAGACCTGTGAGGTGTATCAGTTCGTATACTGGCAGCCTAAGGATTTGATCCAGGACTGTTTTCTTGAAAACGATATCTACAGTCCGACCCGGAAGGTAGTAATCGATGGTGTTTGTACCAGAAGTGGCTGAATCCACCCAGGACACACCCCACCAGCATAGAGTGACCTGTGGATAGACGAACAATCACACATACACATACACCAATCATGGACACACCCCCACCAGCATAGAGTGGCCTGTGGATAGACGAACAATCACACATACACATACACCAATCATGGACACACCCCACCAGCATAGAGTGACCTGTGGATAGACGAACAATCACACATACACATACACCAATCATGGACACACCCCACCAGCATAGAGTGACCTGTGGATAGACGAACAATCACACATACACATACACCAATCATGGACACACCCCCACCAGCACAGAGTGACCTGTGGATAGACGAACAATCACACATACACATACACCAATCATGGACACACCCCACCAGCATAGAGTGACCTGTGGATAGACAAACAATCACACATACACACATACATACACCAATTAGGTACACACTCCAACATCATAGAATGACGTGTTGAAAGACAACATACACACATACAGACATACACCAATCATGGACACACCCCACCAGCATAGAGTGAAATGTGGATAAACGAACAATCACGCATACACACATACATACACACTCCAACAGCATAGAATGACTGATAAACAATCGCCCATACACACATGCATACATACATCACACCTAGGACACACCGGCATAGAGACCCCTCTATGTGAAGACATTTACTTTCATTTCACTTATGTTTGTGCTGATCAGGAGTCACGCTAAATTCACAATATGCCTATTCAAGACTGTTTCAGTAAATCCTGTACATACGATAAATTATTCTGCCCTTCTGCCCGGCAGATATAGCATACCAATCTGCTTGGGAACAGTAGTTCTTCTGCTTGGTACTACTGACGTAGCATACATCTATGTGTGTGTATAACAGAAATTTGGCCCACTACTAACGTACTAAACCTAACCATCTGGCGGGGTATGGATAAACCAACAGCGCCTTGTTTACACAAAAAGCCATTAACTTACGCGGTTACGGGAATGTTCACCAGAGTTAAATATGTGTACAGATTCCCACAGATAGAATCGCCGATCAACTCTAAACATGTCCGCATCATTAGACCTAACCTCTATCTCAAGTTGTATCCAAGTTATCGTTTTTTTTTAAAACATCAATATGAATGTGTGTGTGATAATGTTTTTTTTTATAAATAAAAGTACTCAATCCTTTACATAACGCCAATTTTCGGTGACAGTGTCGATGTATTTTATTCGTGTCTATATTTTATTATTTGAAGAAAAAAAAAGAATAAGAATATTTTTAAGCTTTCTGCGTCCAATATCTTGGCATTTGGCTAAATCGACAACAAAATATCCACAGCAACTCACGAGAACGTTTGAAGTCGTATCTCCACTCAGCTTTGTTGCCCTCGATCTGACCTATCGTCTGCGCCGTCACTTCCGCAAGGCCTTGGATGACCCCGGCACTGAGTACATTGCTCAGGAAGAGGTGCTCGCTCAGTAAGTACTCAGCCCAGACGGAGATGTTCGTGATGACGAGGATCATGTGGCCAGGAGCCACTGGATCGTCAGCACGCATCTTATTTGCCTGTTTGGAAGGCGGGGCCATTTTTTTTTTCTTGTTTGTGTTTACGAATGATGACTGTTAAAAATTCAAGAGTTCAATAATTAATGATTAGTAGTATTCGTGTTGTAAAAAAAGTCGTTGATAACGATACTTGGTATGGCCTACTTCAATGATCGAAACTGTATGCGGGTATCGTATACCCGAGAATACACTGGCGTAACCTCTAGCCCAAACTCTATTCCTATCTCTAACACTGACCATAGCCATAAACCTACCCAATGATAATGGCAGAAAAACCTCAATACGGTATAGTTTTGGTTAGAACGTGAACTTACGCGATTCTTAAAGTTAAATCTCTCCTTAACCCAGAGGCGATTTGCACCCCCCCCCCCCTAGAACTTTTCATTTGCACCCCCCCTCGAACTTTTCATTTGCACCCCCCCCCCCCATCAAACTTTCAATTTGGCGCCCCCCCCCCCCCGTAAGGTCGGCACCCGGGGACATATTCCCCCCCCCCCCCCCCGCTACGTCTCTGCCTTAAGCCCACACACCTAACCTGTGATTACAGCACAGCCATGCATAATCATCATTTTATTTCCGCCAGTATCGCTATTGGAGAGAATTAGCATTGGAGGCGGGGATTAGGGTAGGGTTATTAATAAAATCGATAGTATCACAATACTAGCTTAAAGAGATTACAAATAAATTAAAATTGAAATCCACTTAAAGTAGTTCCTTTCCACGGTACTGAAGTATAAGTATCGTTATCAACGTTAAATATAATAGTTGCTAATCGATACGGGGGGGGGGGGGGGGGGGGGGGAAACAAGAACCAATAACTTGCAACAACGAGAATGAAAGAATGACACCTAGCTAGAGGGCAACATGGCAGACGGCTATTCTAATTTGTATGTTTTCGTTTTTGTGTGCCCCACTCTTTTTGGCGCTTTGGTAAATTCTAGAATCCTAGAACTAGACAAGTAGATTCTAAATCTAGTTCTCTAGATTTATAAACTTTTTGGAACTTTTCTTGCCACCAGGCTTCCAAAAATTAATTAATCAGCTTTATTTACGCTTTGTGTTGGCAGACCGATTTTGTACTTTTAAAAAATTAGTCGCAAATATGATCTTAAAAACAAAAGCTTACTTTAAAAGTATAAGAAAATGTTAGGATAGATCTTGAAGTTTATATTCACTCATTGTTTACAAGTTTCATTTGGCTTGGTTCACTGATAGTTGTTAAAAGTGCCAACCCCCTTGGCGGAATTTCCCCTTTCCTAAAAGTTCTCTCTACATCTAAAGTACTACCGAACTCAAATATCACAAACGCAGGAACGCCACTTGTTCTTTACAGTCTGTTCCTACGATTGTTTTTTTTTTTTTTAAATACGTGGCGTATATTTAGCCTATTCAAATTTTTGTTATTGTGGTGGATAAAAATCATTGATAATCATGCATGCACGACACAGCTTTATGTCAAGGGGCGGGTGAAGTAGAGTTCACTAGTTTGATTTGTACCGAGGTCAGCAACCTGCGGCCCATGGAGCCACGTGTTTATCTTTGGACGCGCCATGGCCCTTTTCTTTGGTAACAACTTGATTGAACAGTTTCCACGGCGGAGAAATACACTGCAGGCTATAGGCTGGTGGTTGACCCAGGGACGTGTATACAGACAGACCATAGGCGGGGAACTAGAGAGTGGGTTTTTTTTGGGGGGGGGGGGGGCTAGCCCCTCTCCTCAGTCACCCGGTGCAGCACTTAATGGTGTCACACCCCCCCCCCCCCTCAGAGGCGTAGCGTCTCTTCCTGTGGACAAATCTTCAATTTCCGATTTGCACCCCCCCCCTCGAACTTCAATCTGCACCCCTCTCGAGTTGCACCCCCCCCCCACAAACTTTCGATTTGCACCCCCCCCTCAAATTTTTCTCTATATATTTTACTATTTTTTTGCCCTCTAAATGGTGTCACCCGGTGCGGTCCGCACCCCGCCCCCCCCCCCCTCGCTACGCCTCTGCCTCCCCTACATTTTTTGTTTCCTGGTGTATATTTGTATATCTATGGGCGAATCTCGGGAAAGAGATAGCTGTCTAGCCCCCCTCCACACACCCCAATCACCCCAAATCTAAGGTTTTTTTACAGACATTTTTTTCTCAAAAAAAAAGGGGGGGGGGGGTGGGCAGAGGCGTAGCGACCCTTCCCGGCGCCCGGGGACATACTTTCAATTTGGCGCCCCCCTCGGGAGAAAATTTTCGATTTGCACCCCCCCCCCCCCCTCGAACTTTTCATTTGCACCCCCCCTCAAACTTTCGATTTGCACCCCCCCTCGAACTTTTCATTTGCACCCCCCCCCCCTCAAACTTTCAATTTGGCGCCCCCCCCTAAGGTCGGCGCCCGGGGACATATGTCCCCCCCCCGCCCCCCCCCCCCTCGCTACGCCTCTGGGGGTGGGAACTTTCCGAGTAGGACAAGGATTATATATTTTTTTCTATTTTGTCTTAGAGATGCCCGAAAGAGACTGAATGGGTTATTCTTTTTTTTTTTAAATATGTGAAAAAAAAAAGTCAAAATGTGTGCTAATGCAAACGGGTAATATTTTTTTCTGGTCACTCTTGCAAATGTACAGGCATTCAGAGAAACAATACTACAAAATACACCTGATACGCCACTATGAATACAAAAATTCTTGAACAAAAAAAACAACAAAAAAACAACAACAAACAAACAAAATTCATACAAGTCCAAATATTAATGACCCATGCAAGTTCCTGATTAAGTAAATAATTACAAAAATAAATAAATAAAATAAAAACATAAACTAACCATGAAATTCGTTTTCTTTTTATAAGCTTTTATTTAAACATTAAAAAAATTGATTCGTGTTTAAAAAAAAAAAAGACGAATAAACTAAGAAAACTTTTAACTTTCAAAAGCATTAAATATTTGTATTTATAGTACTGTTTGTATCGCGGAGGGTTAAAGAACCAAACGACCACTTTGTGACGTCAGTGGGTTTTGTGTGCAGGGATGTTGTTGCGACCTACTTCTGATGGGGTATGAGGACAACATGTGCGTCACAATGGCGCGTGACTCACGTGACCCTTAGAGGACATGGCGCGGTGCCAAAAATGTATGGATACATTGACGTCATTAGGGTTCAAGGAAAGTTAGGATTAGGATATTTTTGGGTTAAAATGACATAAAGGTCAACTTCAATTCAAGGTATGGAAGGTATTTCATGGTAGGTTATATACATATATGTATATATATATATATATATATATATATATATATATATATATATATATATATAGTGTGTGTGTGTGTATTTGTGTGTATATATGTTACTGTCAAAGCCCGAAGTGCTAAAGGTACGCTTGACCAATGTCTATTGAGCTCAAAATCGACAGAGTATTTTATACATTGGCCGGCCACTTCGCGAATTGACCAGGATACCAAGGCCAGTGTTCAATGCAACTTACGACTGCCAAAGTTGGAAATAATATACACATACATCTATCATATGTCCTCCCTCCAGTTGTCAACAACCTAGGCAGAACATTTTGGTTCTCAAATAACTGTATTCCAGAAGTGTTGTGTGTTGGGGGCGGGGGGCAACTTGAATATTTCGGGGGGGGGGGGGGGGGGGAGGAGTCTAAAACCTAACTGGATGACGGGACGACGACGACATTGGTAAAAGTAAATATTTTCTATATAAATTATATTACATTTTCACGCAAAAAATCGCTTGCAATTGCAATAGCACAACATATTGCACAAAGATTGCCGCAATTGCGCAACCAAAATACTAAACAAATCACTGCTATTGCAAAATCTATTGCTGCAAATGTAAAAACAACAAGCTACGGTGTAATTCAAAATGCCATCTTGTGGTAATAGGTGATCATATAGATTGAAAGCTTAGTACAATAAAATCATCTGGCTGTTGTTGTTTTGTTTTTTTGTGTTTGGCAATTACTTGAATTAGAAAATCAATTTAGACATAATGTATTAATCTTCTATAGAGTACCATTCTGCTCAACATAGTTTGTATAGTTTTAGACGGTTTTCTTTTGAGTTCTCGGTGATATCGGCTAGACATATAGGATATAACTTATAACTTATTATAAGTCAGTTTCTTTCTACAAACTCTAAGAGCCGAGTATTAGAACTAATATGCCCCCCCCCCCCCCACCCGAACGAAATGAAATTTATATAGAAAATATTTACTTTTAACAGTGCCCCCCCCCCCCCCCGAAGAAAGTCAAATCGAAAGTTTGAGGGGGGGGGGGTGCAAATCGAAAATTTGAAAGTTTGTCCCCGGGAAGGGTCGCTACGCCTTTGGGGGGTGACACTATTAAGTGCCGCACCGGGGGACACCCGACCTCGCTACGCCACTGAATACAATAAAAGTTAAACTTTCGGACCTGGTTCTCAAATAGGTAGATGAAGTAGATTTCACCTGTTTCCGTGACCTCGGCATATGCAGGGACAGTGTGGTCATTTCTGTTTCCACACCTGGGTACCAAACTCGAGAATTTCGTGTTAACTCATCTCCGAGCACTGCGTTCCGTATAATTAGGGACGCAGGCCCTTAGTTTGCATATATATGCTGAAGTTGTTCGGAAATAGTAAATGACCTCCTCCCACCCTCCCCACAAGCCTATTTTACAAAATTCCTTTTAAAAAATTAAGAAATTTAGTTTGCAAATCTTCTTCTATTACCATAAGCTTTCATTTTTATATAATTTTTTTTTTAACTTTGCTTTATTCAACAACTTGTTGATATAGTTTTAACCCGTTTTTCGACCCACGCTACTTCTACAACCACATGGCCCTACACACACACACCTTTTTTTTTTTACGCCGTTTGAGTACATTTCTCGTTGCATCCTTTCCCCCCATCCCTATTATTGTAATTCAACCATAAAGCGGTTTACATGCTTCGTTGCGTTTCACCCCGACTCTCAGCGGTCCTCACATTGCTCGTTCTCCGATGTCTTCAATACCCAGGCAAATTTTTAACAAAAGACAGTAGTAACTCATGTAAATATATGCATTGAATGCTAACCTACAATAACAGCTTTTACACTTTAGAATACTTTATTTATAAGATTCAAAATATTTTTTTTTAATAAAGCCCCTTTGAAAAAATTAAGGGAAGCAACTATTCAGGGTAGACGATTGGCCTGATTAAGTTGGGTTATTCCCAAGTAGAATGAATGAAAAATTGGGGTAAGGGCAAATATTATATTATCATAACTGTTATATGACCTAGTTAGGTTGGTTTTCCCCACTTTCCAGGTTACATAGAGGTGAAGAAAATGTACAAGGACGAAAGCCTTAATGTGGGAAAACCCCACCAGTGGCGAATCGTGGTCGTTTTACGAATGGAAGCACATTTATTTTATTTTAGATGTTGCCACATTAAGGGTTCGCCTATAAGCACTTAGTAAATAGAAAAGTATTTGTCATAAATGCAGGTCGCTTCGCCCTGGTTCATTCAAATAAATAAATATATTTTTTAAACTAGTTAAACCTGGAGCATGAAGCTCTAGTTCACATCATTGATGGCGTTGTAGCCAGGTACATAAAATAAATCGATCACCTTATGTTCACCCTCGTTTTGAGTGTAAGTAGGGTATTGCCAATTTGACCCCTGGTCACACAATGTCAAGGTCTTGGAAGTTCGTGATCTTAGCTAAAAAAAATATTTAATTTCTACTGCTTCGGAATTTCATCTAATCATTTCAACTTTTATTCAGTTTTAAAATAATATATTATTTAAATTATAAATCATCATTAAAAGTTATAGCAGAATTGAAGTGGTCGCATATTTCATAATTTAATAACAGAATAAACGATCAAACTATCTGGCAAGGGCAGCTACTCTTTTTAATGTTTTTCCTATTGTGATGGAGATTGGCAATCCGATTAGCTTTTGGAGTTCGCGCTATTTAATTTCATAGCAAAAGAAGACAAGAAATGGTGTTTTATTTGTGTTTTCTTTAAGTATTTAACTTGTAAGTGATTTTCATAATTTTTTAAGATGAATAATTAGAGGTTTCGACCCTTATTGTTGGGTTTTATACAATTTTATTCGTGCACTAGAAATCTTGTTTCTGCACTACTCTGCTGCTGTCTTTTTGCCAGAGAAATGTGACATGAGTCATCTTGCTGTTCAGTGTTTTGATTCAACAAACAAAATTAGATCTAGATCTATAGCTTTTTAATAAGTTACCACTGTTTTATTTAGAGCTAGATCTATATTAACTATATAATACTATATATTATAGCCTAATCATTATTTAGATAAATACTATCCGCCTCTATCTTTTTATTTTTTTACTTTATGAGATTATATATTATATGACGATGAGAGTCAATACCATAGGTCATAGCCCATAGGCTACAATTACAAATAAATAACAGCATTGACCAATAGAAATGTTATGACAGGATTATTACTAGTATTACTAGACTCTAGGCCTATTAAAATAAACTAAATAAGTTAGTGTGAGGCCTATTACTAGAATACTAGATCTTCTACTACTAGACTCTAGATTATAAAGTCACTATTATTACTGCGAGCGACAGACTATTGTGTGTGGTGTAGAATTAATTAATCTAGATATTATATAGTAGTAGTCTAGTTGATCTAAATCTAGTTACGATTGAACTTACTGAACTTAGGTTTTAACGATTAGACTAGAGCTATAGGCCTATAGTGTAAGTGTAACTAGTAACTACACTATTATAGTTCTGTAGATCACGTAGGTCTAGGCTTGCTGCTAAACACAAAGATAATTATTAAAAGGTATTTGTCATTAGTAGGTCGTTATATTAGTTATTCATCATCTATTCAATTCTTTTCAACTAGGGCCTATTAATTTCAATTTACTTAGGCCTAAATGAATAATTTGGTCTATTTGTTATTAGGCCCTAGACTATTTTGTGTAGAGGTCAGCCAATTTTAAAAGTAGTAATCTATATCTTTTTAATTGATGACAATTGTTACTTATGAAGTCCAGTCCTAGGTATTGGGTTTTCTGTAATATGCCTTTACTTTCCTTACAATACAATGAGTCAGATACCCACCAGAGCTGGGTAGACTAAAGTATGTCATACTGAAGATCCAAACTTGAGTTATTTGAAGTTACATGTAGTTTTACTGAATTTGTCCATCCATCAACATTTTTACACCTATCTTATATTTTAATGTCACTAGCAGAGGTTTCACAGCATATCTTATTAATAATATAATAGACAAATTCTACATGTTAACACATTTTTTTCCCTGCATTATTTTCAACTTACTTTTCTTCCTAGAACTTCAAAGGAATTTTAAATCAGCAAGAAGAAGTACACAGCAGCCATGGCCAAAGTAGATGAAAGTTATGAAGTGACTGGAAAAGTATCACCACCCAAGCTTCCAATGGAAAATATGAAGATTAGTAATTGGAATTCTATTTCTTCAACTTTTCTAGAGTCGGTGTTCTCTGAAACTGCTATTGAAGGAACAAAAATGAACATATCTTCATCTTTATGTGCATTGTCCTCTCCAGCAAGTGTTATATTGTCAAGTAACGGCTTGTCACACTCAGTGGTCAGTTTGCCGTATTATTTTTGTAATTTTTGTGATCATAGCACGGATAACAAGGCCACTCTGCTGCGACATGTTACTGAGAAACACATGTTTAAGTGCCAGATGTGTGACTTCATCTCATTCACTCGTAGTGGGCTAGTGCAGCATCAGCTTTACAAACACGTTGACGCCGAGGAGATGCAGCCTATCCTCATCACAAAAACTGTTCAACTCAATGTTTCACAGCTGCATAGAAGTTTACCGAACTTTGTGGCTTCATCTGAGGTTCACAGTTGCCATTTGTTAACATCCCCTGAAGAAAACTCACCAACGGTAGGCCAAAACCTATTTGGAACACCGCTTGCACCTGCTAGTCATCCAGTTATCAAGAATGAAAGCCCTGATACATCTACTGTTGACATCAGCGGTAAAGACAATGGCTCTTGTACAAATTCCCACGATGTTGTTCGAGCAGCCTCCAGTGCAGTTGGTGATTCAAATGGAGAAAAAAGTTTGAGGCGAGATAAAGTCTGGCACCACTTGTTTAGTGATGGTAAAATTGCTGCACAAATGCCACATTTTCTTGACGATTCGGATGCGTCAGTGACCTCATCAAGCAATCTTCAATCCTCCCCTTCACCTAAATCACAAGAGGGTAAAACTTTATACAACAATTCTATGTCTAAAGATTGTGGTCAGGTGCCATCTTTTCTAACAGAACCAATTGTTTCACAACCAGGTAATGGATCGCCATCAAGACTCAAAACCATTGTAAACTCAGACACATTGAAAAGTAATTCTGAATCCTTTGTTTACAATATTGATTCAAATGTAACAAAAAAGAAATCTCAATCACTCCCGACCAATATATCTAAAACTATGTCAGCTTATCCAACTTTACAAAGTGCTTTAAGTGAAGGTAAAGGAAAGGATTTAGATAGAAGCCTAAGTCCTAACTTGTCTTCCCTTTCTGTGGAAAGACTGCAGAAACAGTTTGAAGATGCAGTCTCTAATTCGCCAGGCTTTATTTTTTCACAAGCCAGAAATACTTTTCACCACACACAGGATGGCAGCTCCAATGACTTGCAGCACTCCGTGAAAAATTCCAAAAGTTTGTTTGATGACCCTAACTCACTCCTCTTGTGTAATCCAGCACCAAACAAAAGAGATAAAAATATAGACAATTTTTTAATGAATGCAGAAGATCCCTTGGGAATGGATAATTATTCTCAAATGGGTTTAACTAAAGAAAGGAGTAGCACTAATAATTCACAATGTGAAAACAAAGAGAAACTTAATAAAACAGAAAATTTTGATTTGCTGCGAAATCTACTGGTACAGAAACCAAAAGATGTTGTTTCTAATCATCGAAGTAGCGGTCTGTCTTCCCCTTGTACTGTACAAACTTCTGAAAGTCCAAGCACTGTGAATCACCATAGATCACCAAGAACACGAGCCTCGGACATGTCTTTGAAGGAATTACTAACAGGCGATCTCCCAAAGAGTGCCAGGGATGCTCAAGACCGTTTGGAATCCACTTTTACCAGATCACAAAACATGGATATTTTCCTTGTGTGCGGATATTGCAATTTTGAAAGCCACAACAAAGCTCAGTTTGACACCCATGTCAAGATGTGTACTAATCGTAATCAAACAGGTGGCAGCGGGCATAAAATCTTTGAGAGTTTTCAGCCTAATCCACTGGTAAAGATAAAATCTGAAATCAGTGACGATGACTGTAGGGATTTTGATAATTCCACGCAGAATAAATCAGATTCTATGGATTTTAAACAGAGGCCAGTGTTAACTGAGCAGAGTAGAATGGCTAGACTCTCTAGCCCTAGGACAGACTCTGACAGAGGCTTAGATAGTCAGACCATGTTGTCTGTTGACAGAAAGCGCAACCACAGCCCTAGCAAGGATGATGAGACATATGAATCTTGCAGCTCTGAGTCTGATCATTGTTCAGAATCAGAAAACAAGCACCCTAGTATTAAAAGATCAAGGAAATGTTGTCCGGCTGTTGAGTATGATGGATGCCTCCCCCTGAAATGCCAAGACCCCTTGTCTAAACAACCTAGATTTAATGTAACTTGTTTAAGCTGTAGCTATTCAACAACAGACAGGCTAGACATGCGCCAGCACTTAATGCTTAGTCACCCGATGGATGTTCCCTATGCTAAAGCCAGTTTTGAACCAGGTACTAAAGCACTTTTGTATTTTTGCAAGGGAGTTAATTCACAGTGCACCTTCTTCTCCATTGAAGGTGCAGAAATATTTGAGCACATAAAGCTGTGTTACTATGGTTACCTAGACCAGTTTGTTTCCACCAGAACCTCAGAGTGTTCAACAAATTATTCCCAAGTTCTGGGTTCTCTGGGAATAGCTGCTAAAAAACTAGACCCAGCTCCTACCACATATTATTGCTTACGTTGCAACTTTTCTAAAAGCCACCTAGATGGTATTTTAGGCATTGCCCATCATGTAAAGACAAATCATCCTGATACTGTAGCAGGGGTGCTGACGGTCAATAGATCTCTGGCTGAAAAAACCAGAGTACAAATGCTTTGTTTGGTCTGTAACAGTTGTGTGACAGTGAAACAGTGGGCAGCTCATTCGTGCAGGAAAGCTAGTAAGAAAACTGTGTCTGATGTGAGCACATTTAAACAATCTACACATCCATTGAACAGCACCATGTCAGATCAAAGAGAACACGGCCAGGAGAAAAGCAGCATTCTGTGTGAGTTAATGGCAGCAGAGAAAGGGCAGCTTGATAATTTGATGCCTGGGCACACGCTACAGAGCAATAACCCGTTGTCTAGAGACAGTGAAGAGGAGGCTGCAGAACAGAAGCCTCTATATACATATAATGAGGGTGTTTGCATCAAACAGGAGGTGGAAGATAGTGAAGAGTATAATGAAATTTCAGAAAGTTCAAGCGGATCTAAAACTCCAGTCACCTGTGTAGAAAGTGTTCAGCTGGGCCTTTCTCACAGGAAAATTGATGACAGCGAAAACTTGTCTAATGAAGCAGGCAAAACCCCCATGCGGCCCAGTGTCCTGGAGAACCTACTGACTTCCCCTAAGGAAGCTGACTTCAACCTTAAGAGTTATAGTCTACTGCAGAACTTGTTAAAATCATCCAGCAGTGAGTTGAAAGCTGAGCCCTTATGTAATTCGAAAGCTATTTTCTCACGTAAACAGGAGAAATTATCCTGCCAAGCTCCTTGCCCACAGCTCATTGTAGGTTCACTCAGCCAGTCAGTTATGGTAAAAAAGAATACCCCTAAAGTTAACAATGACAAGTATACCCCTCACACCACAACAGTACATCATAGAGGCTCCGCATCACGTGCAGTAGCTGCACATTCTCTATTTCCATACACGGCCCCATCTGCCACTGCAGGCTCACCTAACCGTGCACCCTCGCAGGCGTCACCCCCATTGATTCCACAGCCACCAGCACTGCCTGTTATACCACCGCTGTCACCACAACCTGCTGATGAAGCTCAACAAGAAAATATCCATTCTCCTTTCTCAAATTTACTCAGAGGCTTGTTGTCAAAAGTCAATTCAAAAAACAATGCTCCAGAATAGCCTGTTAAAACTTCTTGCATGCACCATTTCAGTCTTTTCTTCAAGTTGAACATTTTTTGCTGTTTTTTAGGTGTCTATGGTCTTAAAGTAATTATACTATTATAACATGTTTGTTTTAAATTGTAAATTTATTTATTGCGATACTGTAATTAGTCAAATGAATATTGATACTGTCATTAAAAACTATTAATTACCTCTAATTTGTGATAAGCTTTTGTTACTAAAGCTACAATTTATTTAAACATTTTGAGCAATGAGGGCTAATGAATTTGTAAGTTATTCATTTACAATTATATTTTTCTGTCTTAAATGTACACTTTATCCATTATAAATATAGGAGCAAGTACAATGTTGTACATATTTATAATCTACTGATCTTTTTTTTTTTTACAAATATCTGTACATCACATCCCACTTTTTAAAAAAGAATTTAATGAGTGTGATCAAACATCTTAAAAAGATTACCAAAAAAATTTATTCTATTCTGCAGTGTATTCATACATTTTTATACCTATATGCATTTTACATACTTTTTATGAGGGTCTACTTTTTTGGAATAATGATGAACATTTTTCTTTACCATCTCACATGTAGTTAACGTACAACTTATGTACTGTTAATGTTTTATCTACTGTCTGTGGTATGAGTACCTTTGTAAATTTTAGTTACAAAGTAAGCTACTATTCAAGTTGAGCATGATTTGGTAATCACCACATAGTTGTTTGCAGTTTGGCATAATTTGAAATGATATTTATCATTAGCTTGATTATAAGTTAGCTTCAAAATAAATTTGAACATTTTAAAAATTAATTTTAGAGAAATGGAATGATTTGCTTAACTTAAATTTCTCTTATTTTTCTTTAGTTTTTGTTTGAGGTGTACTGTTATACATAAGATGACAACTGTTCTTTAAGCACAGATGTAACATAAGTATTAGTGGTCCTGTCTAATATGTGTAATTATGATTTTGTGTTTCAAAACGTTTTGGTTATAATAATGAATTTTCCTTTTGATCAAATAAAAGTTATTATATGTGAACTCAGTCTTTTTTAATATTTTAAAATTTCAAATGTGCCTAATTGTTTAGTGTATTTTCCAGTTCAAAACAAACGAGTACAGTTCGAATCTAACAAAATGAAGTATACAACTTAACACTCCTTACTATTTGTATTTAAACATTCTTCATGTTAAATGTCTATTAACATCTTGCACTATCATTATACTTGTCTGTCTCACAAATACATTTAAGGCGCAATTGTTGAATAGTATACTACAAAAGATGCTACTATTAAAAGCTTTCAATTTCAGTGCCAACCCCTCCACATCCCCCTACCTACTACTTTCTTCAGTCAGGTAACTAACAGTAGGTTGAAAACTCAACCTTTAGCCTATGCCAGACCTTTTTAATTAGCTGTTGTGTGTTGGACCATGCACTCCCACACTAAGACATCAGCTTTACTTGTAGGCATCAGTTAGTTTCAAAAGGAAGCATAGGCATTAGCTTGCCTTTTGTTGGCATTTACATTGTCTCCCTTCATGCGCATTTTTTGGTAACCCTAGTTAAGCAATGTTTGTTTACATAACAATGTTGGGACTAGTACATCTTTTTTTTGGGTTTTTTTTTCCACATATTGATATTACAAATATAGACAATATGAAATCTACACAATCATGTTTTTATAATCTGATAGCTCTATGTTTTAATAATAGATTTTACAAGTATTTAAAATCCACTGTGAGAGTTTACTGAGCTGAGGCCAACTAATCTAAATCCATCTAGATAATTGTAATATTATTATAATAACAAACAAACAGTTCAATCAAATCACTAAGTTCATATTAAATATTTGTTTATTTCCACCAGTTTTGAGTGATATTAAATTACATTTAAATTTTAAAAGACAAAATCTTGTGCAATACAAAAACAGCTGTTTATAGCTCCTCAATAAATAATACCACGCCCCACTTAAATGTATTGAAAGGCAATATTTGTATAAACAATATTATGCTTGCTTAAAGAAGAGTATATTAAAAATATTGTAAATGCCATTTAATTGCATCAATACTTCCTTAGTATTTCAAAGCTAAAAACACATAAAAGAACCAAGTCACAAATCATCTCCATAAGATATATCTAAATAATATATCCAAATATAATATTTATAATAATAATAACACAATCATACCGTGCATTTAATTTAAAAAATGGTACAATTTGAAGCAAAAAGGTAAAAAAAAAGCTGCTGTTATCTAGCTTTTAGTTTGTTGAGGTCACATAGTATGCCTGCATTTATCCTTTAAAGTTATTAGGTGCTCTCCCTTTAACAGAGAGACCTGTCACTTTGAAAATGGACCCAGCCAATGGCTGCTTGGCTTTGCTCTCCTCTGGGATGTTCCATTGGCTACAGGTTACATACAGCTCGTCTAGGTTTTTGCCACCAAAGCAAACCGATGTGATATTTGTGGCAGGGAACTCCAAGGTCTGTAATGTTTTACCTGTAAACCATCCAGTACCATAGCTTAGTAATAGAATGGGTTATTCAAATCAGCTATTTACTGTGAAATGAAAATTAATGATTTTGTAGACATTATAAAAAGCAAAAGGGGAGTAGAACAAATGTTTAATGGATGAGACCATGGAGCAAAAAATTTAAGTAAGAGGACAGATAAGAAACTTGTGAGCTTTACAGATATTTATACAGAGGACATGACAATGAGATTTGTATATGTCTAAGGTACAGGACATGACAATTTTGTGAGATTAACAATGTTTTAAAAAGACGATGTGACAATATTGTGAGATTTAAAAAAGAGGACGTGACAAAATTGAGGTTTACAGAAAGTAAACAGGACAAAAGTTTGAGCTTTACAGATGTTTAAGGTAGAGGACACAGGACAAAAGTTTGAGCTTCACAAGTGTTCACCTGTCTCTGGGTCAAACCTATGCACTCTACTAGAGGCAAAACAAGCCACCCACAATTTGCCTTCGTTGTCAATACACATTCCATCAGGTAGGCCGTAGGTTTGTTCAGTGCCCTCTTCAAATTTAACAACAGTTCGTTGGTTGCCTTAAATACAAAATAATTTGAACGATTTGAAATGAAAATTGATTTAATGATAGCCTGAAAACAATTTGATTTTTATAACTGTCTGAAATACAAAATAATTTCAATGGTTGCACTGCACAGATTTAAGAGACGGTATGGTTAATTAGTAGAGCATATGACTGCTAACCCAAAAGTCTCAGGTTAAAATCCGGGTTCAAGTCAGTAAAAGGTCCCTGAGTCCACCCAGCTTTGATGGTACCTGACTCACGGTAGGGAAAGCAAAATTGACTGTGCTGACTGCATTATCCCTTTAAACAATTCAATAAACAACCACCAATATAATTCTTTAACAGTTGTATTTATGACTTACTTAGTGTTCCTTCTGTTAAATTGAAATCAAAAGCATAAACTTCTCTAGGCACTGAGTCAATGTAGTACATGACAGTGTTGTCATCAGTCCAGTCTATGCCATTACTGATGTCAATGTTGCCTACATGCTTGACTATTTTATGATCAGTAGAGAAGCTATACAGACTTCCCTGCCCCTTGGGAACCACACCAGGTGTTGATTCTCGCCCCATGGTTCCTAGGGAGAAATATTTTTTAAATGTGAAGAAAAAAAAATTGTCTGCATTCATTCTTTTATTTTTCTGCAGGGGAGATAACTTCATTTTTTTCCAAATTGCAATTCAGTTGAAGGAGTAGCAATTCTTTAATGTTCGGAAAGATCCAACTCGGTCTTACACCATGGTTTTAAATTTCTTACCAAATAACTCATCATTAATATTTAAAACATCCCTTTAATGTTTACTGTATATTGGATGTCAACAATTTACAAGAAATTTGATTTTGGTGAGCAAGGAATCTAAGAAGTTTAATAAAATAATCTGATTATCTTCCTCAAAATTTTTAAAAATAAATTTTTTCAGTTTTTCTAAGCAACATAATTTTTTTTGTAAACTGTTGTCACAGAATCAAACCTTAAACAGGTATTGTAAATGCTTACTTCAGGTAATAAGTTTAAACCTTACCTGCCCAGAGTCTACCAGAAGCATCACATTTAGCATCATTGAACCTGCTCTCTTTATCTTGCTCTACCTCTGCTAGCGTTGTTACAGTTTTCGTGTCCCAGTCCACGTGTGAAATCGTTTTGTTCAAGCCAACGACGTAGCCGCCTCGATCACAAGGTACAGCAAACCCAACAGTCCCATCTACAATAATTTTAAATTATTTATGATCACGTAGATTAAGCCATAAATCAGAGAGTGTGATGAACATATTTTGTCCATAGAGCAGATATAGTAGAATTGTTGGTTTTTGAGGCCACAGTAGATGAAAGAATAATAGTCAGTTCAAAGCCCATACATGTTACCTATTTTTTTCCCAGGTGTACATGTGTTACCTATGTATATCTGAATGTTATCTATGTGCACTTGAATGTTACCAATGTGTACCTGAGTGTGACCTTGAATGTTACCTTTGTGTACTTGAATGTTACCTATGTATACCTAAATGTTACCTATGTGAACCTGTTACCTATGCATACCCATAATAATCCTGCTTGCTCAAGCTAGGTGAGAAATGGAGACTTTTTAGTTAAAAATATAAAAAGTGTTCTTTCTCAGTGGTCAGTTGTATTAGATATTTATAATGAACAAGAGCTTTTTATGTATGTCACCAGCTTGTCCTAAAGCTTAATCATTACTTTACAAAAGCATAAATTAAAACATTCATTCCCAAATTTATTTTTGTATTAATAGACAGATTTTTTAAGTAAATGAAATGCTGTCTTTTGGGAGAAAGACTTTACAAAGCTGTTCACTTCAAAAATATGATACCAAAAAACCAAATACCTAAATTAATTTTTTCCTCAATTCCAGTGTCAGGGTTCCACCTATGCAGCCCCCCACTGTTGATGTCTACATAGAGCAAGGTCTGTGTAGCTGCATCCCAATGAGGACCTTCACCAATAGTTGGGCAGCAATTTTTTAGTGCAACTTCTATTTTTGGTGTAGCCATGGCACAAATAACTTAAATTATTTTGTTAGTCTGAAAAAAAATTGTAAATGATTACATATAATTATAAAAAAAGTAATGTATATATACATACATACACATTCATTTCTTTATATGTATGCATGTATGTATATATATATATATATATATATATATATATATATATATATATATATATATATATATATATATATATATATATATATATATATAAAATTGTATATAAAATACAGATAATTTCTATTTAGCAAAGCTAATTTATACACTTAAAACACCTATACCAGTACTTAAAATAATTATGAGTGTGAAGTTGAGTATAGCAACACAATGCTATAATACTAAGCTCTCAACAAGTACACATTCTACTTACTTAGATTACAGATCTCATCTGCCTAAATGTTATCTCCAATAGTAAAGTCTGACTGGAGTCTGTTGACCTCTTTCATTCATAGATAACAAAGTCTGAAGGCCATTTTGTGTTTATCTGATTATTTATACCAAAATTGTGTGACTACAATAGCAAACCCACAATTGAAATATGTGAATAGAAATATGTAAAACCTTTTGAAATTTTATTATATTATTTTATTTATATAAAAAAATATTAGGTAATGTTGTAATTTAAACAACAGAAATTAATTTTGATCTTAATCTAGTTTTCAACTTTCTAGGCCTACATATTGTGGTTCTTATAACTTATAACAATAAAAGCAGGACAGTATATACTGTATCAAAGTTATTTTAAAAATTGCTTTAGGTTGAGGGTTAAGATCAGGGTCAGGATTAAAATTAAGGTCAAGGCTAGGACCATGATAAGTTCCTTGCACCACAGTAAGCATAGTAATTTCAACACTAGCAAAAAATCTCTCGAAGTACCTTGAATATGTCTTAGTGTGTATAGCTATAGGGCCAGACCTAGCTGTTTAAGTTTAAACTTTTCTGGTTCTTTGACTAAAACCTCCCCATTTGATGTTTATGTAAGAAAAAAATAAAAAACTGAAAACAATTATTTTTTTAAAACTAAAGAAACTTAAGATAAACTGATATTTAATTTTATAAAGTAAATGTACATTTTAAACAAGAGTGCTTGCAATTCCATACAAATATTCCAATATTTACTGCACTCATTACAATTTGTGTCTAACAGTTAAAATTATCGATCTGGTATGTTTATTTCTAACGTTCAGGTTTTTTGTCTTATGTTGACATCTGCATCCAATCCACTTGAACTACAATGACATTTTTGTTTAATATTTGAATTTGTCATACTTCTAATCCCTCCTGCCTGACCATGGGTCGCCAACTACAGCTCTCCAGAGTTCACTGTCCTGGGCTATTCTCAACAGGTAATTCAATGTGTTGCTTATCTTGATGGTATCTGCTACAAGTTCTCATCACCAGATTTTTTGACAGATTTTTCTGCTGGCTTATATTTTCTATTTTAAATTTTACAGCATTGCTGGTTACGTTCAGTGTTTCTTCCAGACTTTTTTGTCTGGGGGGGGGGGGGAGGGCACTTGAAATTTTCGGGGGGGGGGGGCGAACACTGTTAAAAGTATATATTTTCTATATAAATTATATAAATTTCATTTTGTTCTGGGGGGGGGGGGGCGGTAAAAATTTTTCGGGGGGGCTTTGCCCCCCGCCGAAGAGATGCCTGGAAGAAACTCTGGTTACGTTGGTAGGCAATCTATATTTGTTCTTCAGTCAGAAGTTGGTAGATCTTTTGCCCGAGGTTGGTTTTACTTATTGTGTCTGGCCAACAGATCTGCAGGATTCTGCTCAGGCAGCTGTTGAGGCTGAGGGTGGTGTGGTTGTCTCCTGGCCATCCTACCTACAAATTCCAGCTCAATATTATAACTAGATCTATAAGATTACTATACAATAAGATTGACTTAACATTAAAGTATGATTAAAGTAAAGTTATTTAGTAATTCAATAGAATAGAATATTTAGAATAGATCTAATTTCTAAATACTAATATTAAAATAAATACTAAAATAAGTAAATTAATAAATTAAAATTTAATTTAAATGTAATAAATAGTAGTAAATAGTAAATCTATATATATAATTCTCTTCTGGGAGCCGTTAGAAAACAAGCTGCAAGCGCCACCTTGCAGTCCCCTCTCTTTCTCTCTATCACTATCACTCCCACCCCACCCCCACATTGTCTGGTGAGCTGTGGTCACGCTGTTTACATTTTACAATCACACAGAGGGGTTTGGTGACGGCTATTAGGGGCAGATAATTTAGTTTGAAACGATTTTAAACTTAGAGGAGGTAACTAAGAGGAGGCTGCTTTCACGTGGGGGGGGGGGGGGGGGGTAGTGTTTTTAAGCAAATATTTTCAGTGGCAGCATTGGTACTGTCGAATTCACAAATTATAAATTACTGAAAAGTAGAAAAAAAAAAAAAAACTAAATAGCGGGTCGGCTATATTATATATTATATTTATTAAAAATTAATATAGAATAGGCCTAAATTATTTAAAATTATAGTATATTAATAAATAACATTTAAAAATAATTTTGTGGCCATTTTTGTTTTTAAAACGAATAAATATCACTAATTACTAATTATGGATTTGGTGATGAAGATAGTAGATTAGATTTTAATGCGTTTAACAAATAGTTAGTGTCGTAGTTAAGCTTGTTTTCAATGTTTTGTTTATGGTTTTTTTTAGGGGTGTGTCACTAACCAATCTATTTACCGAGAGAAACAACTTTGACCTGACTGGCATATCGTTCGTTTAGTTTTATTCCAGTCTACAGATAATTCGTCGAATCAATAAAAAAAATGAGTGTCCGGGTTCTTGGCGACCAAGATAGCATTAAAATAAATATAGCGATTTTAAAAGCTGATAAACTTTTCAAAGTTAATTGGTCAGAATTGTCCGTCTTTATTTTTTTAATATAGAGCCTTAATTCTGATTCATTAAAATGAGATCAGTTTGTGTGCACTATAGAAACGTGTTACATATATTGTAAAGTGGGAAAAGAGAATAAGATTCTTATTCTCTTTTCCCATATACAATATATGTAACACGTTTCTTATTAAGAATAGGCAAAAGTAGCCCTACATAGTACATAGTGCATGCATACCTTTGATAAACATTTTGAATTAGATGCACATACATTTATTAGGGTTGATATTTATATAAAAAATGACAAAGCTTATTGGCACTTAGATATAATTACAAGTTAACTTTATCAGTACATGTATAGAGTGGGTGGAGCGGGCTACTCACGTAATGCGAATTTCTTTTTTTCTAGACATGTATGTACAGAGGCGTAGCGACTCTTCCCGGCGCCCGGGGACATACTTTCAATTTGGCGCCCCCCTAGGGAGCAAATTTTCGATTTGCACCCCCCTCGAACTTTTCATTTGCACCCCCCCTCAAACTTTCGATTTGCACCCCCCTCGAACTTTTCATTTGCACCCCCCCCTCTAACTTTCGATTTGCACCCCCCCTCGAACTTTTCATTTGCACCCCCCCCCCTCAAACTTTCGATTTGCACCCCCCCCCCCTCGAACTTTTCATTTGCACCCCCCCCCCTCAAACTTTCAATTTGGCGCCCCCCCCTAAGGTCGGCGCCCGGGGACATATGTCCCCCCCCCCCCGCCCCCCCTCGCTACGCCTCTGTGTATGTAGTATACAGAGTTTCTTCCAGGCATTTCATGGGGGGGGGGCGAAGAAAGTGTACCGCCCATCCAAACGAAATGGAATTTATATAGAAAATATATTTTTTAACAGCGTCCGCCCCACCCCCCCCCCACTGGAAATGTTAGTTCACCCCCCCCCCCCCCCGAAAATTTCATGCCCCCCCCCCCCGGAGAAAAAAGTCTGGAAGAAACACTGATATAGTATACACGTGCAAGTGTAAACGCGGTGTTAGCTTATTCAAAATAGAATCGCGCTTTAAAAAAGAAAACTAATTTAGTAGGCTATATAATTATGAAAATAGTATTGGCACTGATAAGTTCTTAAAAGTACATTAAAAATTGAAAAATCTAATGGCAATAGACTTTTCGAAAAGACTATACATTTAATATCAGTTTGGGGTCGTCCATAAATGACGTCGTAGGGGGGGGGGGGGGGGGCTAGAAAACGAATTTTAGCCATTATTTCGCGTTTTAGAAAACTGTTTTCATAAATTGTAATATAAATTTATTAAACCACTCTATGTTGACAGATCAGAAAAGATTTAGGGAAAATATAGCTGTTTTAAGAAAAATTCAACTGCAATTTTGAGGGGTGTTGGAGGCTCGGGTGTGACGTCATTTTAGAGGGGTCTGGCTTTTTGTGACGATGTGTGACGGAGGGGAGGGAGGTTAAAATCGTCCAAAACAAGCGTGACGTCATTTATGGATGCCCCCCCCCCTCCCCGGCCACGTATACCTAACTCACGCCCCCGTATTCAATAGTCCTGTAGTTTGGTCATTTATTGTATTTTTGCTGCTACGTAGGTCTTCTGAATATAGATACGTTAGGACTAGAAAAAAACTATTTTGATAGATCTTTTCTTATTTGATTTTAGGCTAATCGTTTTTTTTCCTACTGACAAACAATGACTCTTCCAAACATAAGTTTAAAAAGATATCATGAACTCTGAACTTAATGAACTCATTCGACAAATGATTTTGCTTGAGCTGGAATCGTAGTAACAACATTAGTTGTGTAGATTCTAGAGATCTAGTAGTAAATTTATTAGCAACCTATACAACTGTAGTATTTTTTAACATGTTTACTATATATTCTAGATCTAATTATTTAAGTTAACCTACTCCAACATTCCACTATGCTTGCTCGGTTATGGGGATGTGTCAAAAGGCACAGGCGCAAATTCATTTTCTTAGGTTCTGTTGTTGGAGGCAAGTAAAAACAAAACTAAAATTATTTTCATTTAGGACCTAAAAGTTTTTTATTTAGATTGAAGATCCGGATGTCCGTTAATAAACTGTTTGGTAATCTATCGTTTTGGGTACGTAATTTCGCCCGCGGCTATAAATGTACGAAAACGTTACCTCATTGTCAAGGCTTTAATAGAAGTTTTTTTATTGTGATATGTTTTTGTGTCAAATATTCATTTATTACTGAAAAGTTTTAATTCAATTGTTTAAAAACAGGTACATAAATGAAACAAGGAAACATTTTAGTATTTTAAAAAACATAAATCCTCCTCAAAATGTGAAATAATTATTAAAATTTAAGGAGTCACCTGTTTTTCACATTACAAGTCTCGGGCGATTTTACGTACCCAAAACGATAGATTACCCACTGTTCTTGCCAGAAAAAGACTTGCATAGTGCTACAATTACCTGTTTTTCTTGTCATCTAAAAATAAAATCTAAATGTTCATTGTTTTTAGGCCTATTTGTCAGTATCTGTTGTCTTAATGGGACAGGGATTAGTTAACATGAAAAATAATTAAAAAGTAGATTAGGCCTATTATCTATTCAAATAGATTTTTTTAAAAATGTTTTATTCCAAACTTGTAGACTAAACTCTTCATTAAATTAGTAAATACAATATAACTATACGATGAACCCTCAACCCCTGACGACCCGCCCGAAGTGCAACTGCTCAAGAATAAGGCTAAAAGTGTGATTTGATCCCATTGTGCAGCTATAAAAGGATAATTTGAGCCCATTTCGCAGTTATTAATAGTATTTAATTTGACCCCGTTGCACAGTTATTAAGGTAATTGTTTTTGCAATTGCATCTTCTGCTGTCCAGACCAGCGCTGGGAGGAAAAGCTTCTTCCCAGTGGTAGTCACTGCGTAATTATTATTATGTGTTATTAGCACTTAAATTACCTCACAAACACCAATGGTGGGGGGGGTGGAGTGGCTCACTCTGCTAGGGCTACAAATATCGACCAATAGTGCTATTGTGTATCATTTGTGTGAGAGGGGTGTTCAAAGTAGTTAGAAATATTATGTGATTTAGCATTTAATTTGTGTTTTTATATTTTTAAACTACCCAATGAAAAATACCATGTTAATTTATGTTCAATTCATGTTTATTGTTTGGGTGGATCAAACTTTTTGACATCTTGTATTTTGCAGTGGGGGGGGGGGAGGCTAAAATAGACTCATAAAATTACATCATTTACAAATGAGAACTCTATACTACTATACTCTGTTATTTTGTATTACTAAATCTAGATCTAATGGTGTGGGATCTGTTTCTTTGCTAAGCATAAACACATTTACCCTCTAAAACAGCAATAAAAAAATAAAAGAACTGACAAAATATGAGTTATGTAAAGTGAGTAGATTTTATACCTAGAGGGTAAAAACAAAAAAGGCAAGAGTTTTATTGACTTGTAGCTTTGATTTGTATGATCAGTATGATTTTTAGTTGTGTTTTATGCACACAGACATAATAATGCTAGTACTATTATATACTAAGGGGATTAATTTTAGCAGGATAATAAAAATGAAAAAAAAAATTGTACAAATAAAGGGACATTATTTATCCCCACTCATCACTCTTATCATTATGAATTATTTACTTTAATATGAATGAGTGTTTAGTACAATTATGAAACAAAAATATAATAAAGTATTTAAGATTTTATTCTCATTTCTCTACCCAAGAAACAGATAACACCCATAGAAGTCTTGCACATTTCTTCTTAGTATATAGGGAGTTCTTTGATCCTTATCCAACTCAGACATAGATCAGGTCTATGAGTTGTGATGTATTTGCATATATTTTTAGTCCATTATTATCTTTACTGTTTTAAAGAAAAATGCTGAATCTGGTAAAATTGTATTCATTTAAACAGGAAGCTGGTTGTTGTATAAATACATTTGGAATAAAATTAAAGAAATTAGAGATGAAGAGGATAAACAGTATCTTATATTTGTCAGGTGAGAAAACTTTATGTTCTTCTAACAAATAGTAAATGTTAAATAACATTGCTTTAAAAATGTATTTTTTAAAGTTAGATCCAGAGAATGTAAACAATAGAAAGTTAGATAATAAAATTAAACAATCCATTATACTTATCAACATGATCATTTTAGGTTTGTCTTAAACTTTTTATGTTGTATTGTTTCCAGGAGACAGCACCATTTTGACAGTAATCAGAGAACTTGCAACATGACAGGTTTGTTCCCTTTTTTCTCTGTGGCTGTTGGTTTCTCTATCTAATACATACAAATTGCAGTGTGATTTTAAATGTATGAATTCATAGCCTTTGCACAAACCATTACTAAAAATTAGACAACAGATATTTAGTAGTCCAATGCAATCTTTAATAAAGAAAAAACAATATCTAGCATAATTTTAAACTAAATATGAAAATTACTTTAAAACACATTACACGCATCCTTTTCTTTCAGTAGATGTAAATTATTTTAAAAGCACACACAAAAGTAGATCAATTTATTTAGAGAATTTGTCCTGCCTTTTAAAAAATAGTTCTATTACATCTTTTACCAATATAGACAATGAACAGAAATGAGTTGGTTAACTTAAGCCGGATGAAGTCAGTAGACCATCCCTAAGTGCACCCAACTCAGATGAGTACCTAACTCAAGTTAGGGAAAGTAACAGCGGCTGGGCATAGTGCTGACCACACTATCTTTTCATATGCCGAGGTCACAGAAACAAGTGAACTCTACTTCACTTGCCCCATAGACCGTCAGGTTTGAAAGGGAAACTTTTACTTTAACTTAAGCTGAAGTTAACCTGTGATGTGTTTTCTATTTTTCAGTGTTAGGACTAGTACCAAATCTACGAGACACATTAATAAAGTCCCTTGATACGGACAAGATCAAAGAGCTTTTGAAAACTAAGTATGTAAATATAAAAATTTATCTTGTACCAAAAGTCAACGAAAGTAGTAATATTTTATAGTCTTTTTTACCATCCTAGATTGTTATATTTATTTTTTATTTCTAAAAAAAAAAACACATAATTTATTGTATTTTTTTAGCTGGTATTTCCATAGCTGTTTTGTATCAACTACATTTCTCCTTTTTAATGTGTTTTTAGTCCATCCAACAAACTTGAACTTTGGGAAGAAATGAAAATTATGAGTAAGCGATTTGAATTCATATTATTTTAGATTTTAACAATTCACAGTTAACACAATAACATTTTTAATTTTTATGAAGTAAAAAATATAATAGCAATGATAAAAACCTGTAATAATTCCTTTTGAAAAATAATCCAGACACTTATAAATTTTATATATAAGAAATTTTGAAAGAAAATTGCATAAGTCTGTTTTTGTTTTAGGTGTAACCCGCACATTAGCAGCAGTGTATGGTACAGCAATGCTGTCGGTCATGCTACGAGTGCAGCTGAACATTGTTGCTGGCTATTTGTATCTGGATACTGTGCAGCTTTCAACTGGGCTTGTAATTAAATTTTTTTTTTTTTTTATGATGACTTTTTTTTAACTTTTAAACTTCAGATGATTGACTATTGTTTTGTTTTTTTAAATATTAAATTTTTTCACTATTGTTAATAAACAGTACTTTCATTGAGCTTAGTGTTTGAAAGTAATTAGTCATTGCATGTTTTTTAATCTCAGCATTTGCAAATTGTCTTAGAAAACTGAAACAGGTACCAGTAGTACATTGCCAACCAAAGTTCAGGAGCGCTATTTGTCGCTAGTGAAGCAGTTTATTGATCAGGGTAACTTTTGTTATTATCCATTTCTTTCTTTGTTTAGTTAAATCAGCTTGACTTACATGACAGTTTAAAATTTCAAACAAATGCTATGTAATTATTGTAAATAGGTAAAATATAATTTAAATTTTATCTTTGAAAAGAGCATAAATGGTCCACTTTTTAAGTTTATTTTTTGAAGTTCTATACTGTTTGAAGAAATTATTTCCAGCCGCCTTTTCCCCATATACAACTCTTCAATAACCTTCTAGAAATGATTAGTTTCTCAGGAAATTAGTTTACATATTTGATGGGTATTGTATCCAGATTTTATTTATTTCAGGTTTTATAGATTTTATTCATTATCTGAGATTAGCAGTTGCTAAAGAAGTTGGATGGTGCGTACATTTTTAACACATATTTTTTAGTGATTATTAGATAACAATTTCTATATAATTTACAAAATTTATACTATTAAGAATGGAGGTTTAATGTCAAATTGGCTTTGACAAAACGGCCCCATCAATAGGGCCACAGACAAATTGAGCCTGTCATTCCAGCTCATGGCATTCGACAAATAGACTCCCATGACTTTGTCTCCCATAAAAAAGAATCCTATCAATACTGTTCCATACTATAAGTCTCCTGGCCAACTGACCCATTCACTTTGACTTCTGCCAATAGTACCCCTTCACCAAAGCTCTTCACAACGGGGTAATTTTGTCACAATCCATTTTGACTTGAGGACTGCTGATACCAAGTGACACACTGTGGTATGTTATTGTTAAACCAAGAATAATTTATTTTGTATGAATGTATAAACCATACAATCCTGGTCCTCAGCCTGCCTTTAAAAGAATTGTTGACCATAGATAACCTGACATCTATATTTGACAACATCAGAGAGAGAGTGGAGTGTGGGGTGGACAAGCCAACCCTGTCTTTGTATCCATATCTGCTGAACAGTGAACAAGTACCAGATATTTCTGCCACAGTTAGTAGTTTCTCACTTTAGTTTTGTTATGGATATTTTTATAGTTTGATTACTTCATTATTATTGAATACATTACTGTTTAATAAATGTATAACTACCACTAACATATATCTTTACTGCAGTCAAGATTTGAATGCAGATGTTATCCTGTGACATCACTAGAATAGCTTATTTTCAATCTAATTAGATATTAAATCATTTAACATTTATTAACAAAGGGGGATAATAAAGTAGAAGCAATTAGAAAAATTATGTGTGTTTTTAAGTGTTTGTTATAGTTTTTAAATGTTTGTTTAAACTTAAAAAAAAATACATTGAATTACATCGATATTGAATTACATCTCAATATAAAGAGAGGTTTTGTACAATGACTGCACTTTTTTCCATCCAGTCTGTTATGAAACCAGAAGATGAGTTGTTAGAGCGATTAATCAATGAAACCAGAGATGTTTTAGAAAGGTAAGTATTTCTTGTCAACTTTTACTTCCAACCACTACATGAGCATATAATTGAGTAATTGTGGGTATTGGATTTAGGTGGATATAAAACTCAATGTTTTTGATTTAATTCCAAAAATTGTTGATGTGAATTGTCATTTTATATGAACAGTTCAGATTTTCACACTGTGTTGAAAGAGAGTATAGACAGGGGATACCAGTGTGTGTTGGATGGCATAGCTGAACACTTCAAACAGCATATGCAGGAGCTAGGGCAGAATGCTGGGTAAGTTGGAAATAACTAACTTTAACTATTTTTTTTTGGCCACAATACTTATGTCATGTGGTGAATGAACCCTCATAAAATTTAAAGTAGCCCACAATTAGTGATATTTAATGTGAAACTTGTTGATAAACAAGATGTCAGGCATAGACATACTCTACATATTAATCATCCATGTTGTCACTAGTAACATGAATCTATACATTATGCAATGAATGTTAATGTTTGAAAATCATGTATACTTCATCCTTTTTATAAAAAAAAGAAGTGTTATAATTAACTGTAAATCAGTAACTAGAAGTACACTAAAAACGGTGTTTAGTACTCTCCAATGGTAAACTACTATTTTATTAAAATAAGAATTCCTCTCTTTAAAAATCTATTTCAGTATTCATGATGTTTCTATTGCCGTGGCTAGACTTTTACCTGTAATAAACAGTCAGGTCTTCAGATTATGTGGTGATGCTCCTAACCACTTCATACAGGTAAACAAAGCTCTTGCAGAAGTTTCTTTTTGTTTCTTCTTTAAGTATTGAAAAAAACTAATTTTTAAATATTTTCTTTATTTAGGAATTGCTACTGATGGAGGAACTTAAGCAGCTTGCAGCTAATGTGTATGAAGCATTTAGTCAAAATCCAAGTGAAAAAATAGCTATATAAAAATGTTTAAACATCAAATGAGCTCAACAGGTTCAAGAAGTAACAATTATTTCGCTCTGGTTATATACTGATGTTACAGAAGTTTCAATATTGATGTGGCATTAAATAACTTGTAAAAAAAATATTTCATTATACAATTTAAACATAGTTGTGAAAAATAAAATCCTTTTCATGTCCTCTTTGCTTTTGTCAGACTAATGATTGTTTTATTTGGTTATTTTTTTATACATTTGATTTTATTGGCTTTTTACTTCATCAACTAGGCTTGTACTTAATACACTGTTTTGCAGCAAGTCACAAGTGTTGATTTAAATAATAGTGAGTAAAAAAGGTTTAGCCATTCCATAACTATCACTGCCATGTGTAAAAGCGTTATGGTATTTTCATTTAATTGTAGAAAAATAAACATTTAGGTGTATTGTGTTTTAAACCTACATGTTACTTTTTTGTAATGATTTTAACTGAAATAAACAAATTTTTAAATTGATGGACTGAGTTACCACATACATGCATACATTATTAAACAGTAGTATGCATATAATATTAATAAATTTGTAATGTGCCAAATTTTATAATTACATTTATTTTTCTGCTTGGGTTAATTGTAATTTTAATACATTTGCTGTTCATGATTCCCCTCAGACCAACACCATTAATTATAGTTGATGTGTATTGACCAAATGGCTAACACTAATCTTCCATAAACATTGAATGAAGATTCACTACCATTTTGATATTTTTTTTACACCACAGGTCATACTTGCTCTATGTTTTAAAACGAAAAAAATTCATTATACATAAATATATTTGTAGCTTTAATAATCTTCACTTAATTTTTTACTCTTTTACTCACACAAAATATAACAAGAAGTTAAAAGATATTTTACAAAATATAATTTATTAAATTACAAAAAATTTAACAGTTCAGTTTTTTTTTTAATTTGATCAGAATACTGTTCAAGCTATTTGTTGCTCATAATTTTACAAACTAAATTACTTAAAAAGCTAGGTACAGTAGTTGTGTGTGACTGAGTAAAACAAAGACAGCCTTTCATGCTAAGTAAATTAAAATTGTAATGTGTCTCTAGAAAGTAAAACTTTGGATGATTAAACAATGTCCAAATAATTAGGTAGTCCAAACTGAAATTAACTATTGATTGCAGACTTCTGGAGTGAGTATGTCATGAAAGAACTTTTAATTGTAAGGTCTATGCCACAAATTTTATAAAAATATCTCAATAAATAAAAAAGTTATGCGATTTTTAAAAAAGAAAAATTTGGTAAAAAACTGATTTTCAAAAAGTGCCATTTTTGAGAACCCATATTTTTTAAACTAAATAACATAGAAGTGTGGAAATTGGTAAAGTTGCTGCAAAGTTTGTAATATATATGCCCAATTTTTTTCAGTCATCTAAAATGAGTCTTTCTAAGGTAAAAAAAATAATTGAAAATGACACAAATGCGTTTTGGTCACTTTTATTTTCATAAAAAAAAAAAAAATCAATTTTTTTTTTTTTTTTGCTTTGGAATAACTCTAAAATTATTGTGTTGGTAACATCGACGTGGAAAAATGTGTTAATTATTTTCAAAAATCACATGAGTTAAAATATTATTTTAAAAAATACCACAGTTATCTAGTGCAGGAGAAACAGAATCAAAATTTAGTAGAGTAAATGTAATGTAATGTAGTTTAATAAAGACGTGATGCCTACAAGTGATGCAGCAGTTGATGCCACATGCTTTGGTTTCTTTTCAAACCTGATAACTGCTTTGGGGGAACAGTTTTGGGGGAACATCTTTGTACGTCTTGTTTCCCTCAACCTTGATCTTGTGGAGCATCAAGAGTAAGTAATATGTTTTGGGAATTGTAGGGGGGGAGGGGGAAGTGGGGTCTTGGCCTTCTTCCCTTCCCTTGTAAGGAAAGTTCTGGATAGGCCACCGTAAATGTCTCCAGCTATGGAACGAACAATTGATTTAGTGATTAATAAAATATAATTAAATTTACTACTAGCCTATTGTGTAGGCCTACTATTTGTCCTATGACTATAACTGGAAACATATGAAAAAGCCTGAAAACACCTTTTTGTTAAAAGTAATTTATATTTTTTATATATATTTTTAAGAGTAATTCTACTGAATGAAATTTGGAATAATCGTTGCTTGTCCCACAATGGTTGAGATATCCAATGATGAAGATGCCATACTGTGGTTCTCAACATCCTATAGGACAACTTAACTGTCCTTCATTGTTACTATTATATGCATATAAAATAAATAAATAATGAGAAATACTACTAGTACTACTTACACTTACAACTAATATAACATTTAAAACTAAGTCACAACATGTACAATCTTAATAAATTGCACAACCATCTAAAAATTGATCTGGTACATTTTATTAAGGAGACTGGCGCAGACCATTTCACATTATTCAGCAGGGGAATCAGAATCAGAGTGCACAACAGAAAATAAAAAAATTAATCACATTAGTCCTTCAAATTTAGTGTCTTTTGTTTTAAATACATTGATAAAAATGTATAGTTATTATAATTATAAATTTCGTTTGTGTTTCATTAGTATTTTATAAGTATTTAACCTTCGTTCCCTGTAAATAATTGAGTTCGTCCACATAGTAACCAGGATAGTCTGGTGGCCATTTTGAATTTGTCGATTCATAATTTTGACGTGATAGTCCAGATAAACTGTAGTAATACGACCCTATCATTGATCACAGTCAATAGATTTTAAAGAATTAGTAAACACTAGCATCTAATAGTTAAGTGCATCCATATTTCAAGTCCCTAGAATGTCCTGAATTAAATAGCTTCACGTCTAAACACACCCTGTGTACAAGCGTAGTTCACAAGCTAAAACCGTGGACTTGTAGCGTTCAAATTTACATTAATAACGTATACTAATTAAACCAAACTGACATTCAAACTTAAAATTCATTTATTAAAATGGAAATGAAACTTTAAAAATGATACTTACAACTTGTTTGAAGACTCTAGCAAGGGTAAAATCCGTTTAGCATCATCGGTCGTCAACCTTTAAAACCGTTCGGCGAGCAACTTACTCGGGGCTGAAAGTCGACTCGAGGGTTATATGTTTATTGGGGGTACGGCTTCGCGACCGTAAATCAGAAATACTTGAATTTACAACACAAAGTAGTTATAAAACTGAACTTTACATCGGTGTAAAAATTGAAACAGAATTAGTTTGTTTCCGTGTATATATCGTCATTTAAAGTTTAAAATCTGTATTTTTAAAATGAAATAATCAAGTTATTTTTTCAATTTATACATCAAACGATAGCCTAGAATTCGATCTTTAAAATGACATTAAGATTATGCTTCTACGATGCTTCGTCGCGAAGCCGCGACCAAATAAAACAGTGTGGGGTCGATCGGTACACGCAAAACGGTGAAATTTGTTGACGTAACTGATACTTTTCAAACAAATATAAAACAGATTCAAACATGTGTTACAGATATAAAAATACCAGATTACGACAGATAAAGACTTAAACTTTATTGACATATAATTTTTATTCTTATAGGACAACTAGAAGTAGTGAAATTTTTTTTTTGAAAACCGCAAAAACTGACCCTAAAACGCACTTTTTCGCCAGTTTGGACTACCTAAAATAATATATTTTGGACTAATTAAAGTAATATAATTGTATTTATATTTAACAAAATATTACAAATGCAAGAGACCCATTTATTTAATACTAATTTTTAATCAGCTGTAGGCTACTTGAGGAAATCGACAATATTTTCTTTTGTGATTTTTTAATTGGAACACAAAATATGATAAGAGTATGCACTGGGAAGAGAATCTTTTAAAACGTCAACATTAGTGGGGTGTTTAAAAATGTGAAATTAATTTTTAACATATAAACAGCTATCCATACACAAAACATGAACAAAATTTGCTAACCATCCCTCAAGTTTCAACATTGTCAAATGATAGGATTTTTCAAACTGTAGTCTCAATAAAATTTCTACTGTAAACTGACATTTAAGTATTTCATCAGAAAATGAAGTATGTGAAATTGTCATATTATCATAAGTAAGACAAGTTGAATGCAACCTTTAATTACATTTATGAATACTATTAGGGTAGAAATTATGTCAGTGTATCAAAAAGCATTTAGGAATTTCATCAAATACAAACTATTTCATTGTGCCATATGCAAGAAGTTCAGTAGTCAAATTATGTTACTGTGTCAAGTAGGAGGTTCAGGGTACAAATTATGTCAGTGTCATACGTTATTGATGACTTCCATCAAGGTACCCATTACATCAGTGTGTCATAATGTCATGTAGGAAATCCACCAAGATACAGATCATCTCAATCAATCATGTCATTTAGACAGCCACTCAGGACATTGGTTTGTGCAGACACTAAAACACCACATCACAACGGTTGAACTAATTCTCATCACTCCATGTGTCAACACCATCACATCACAACACTGAAACTAACTAATTCTCATCACTCCATGTGTCAACACCATCACATCACAACAGTGAAACTAGCTAATCCTCATCACTCCATGTGTCAACACCATCATATCACAACAGTGAAACTTCTTAATCCTCATCACTCCAAGTGTCCATTGTCTGTGCTACTGCTGCAGGCACCACAATACGCACAGTCTCCTCATCCGCCACCCTCTTCCTCTCCATTATTTCCAATTGTTTATCACACAGGTAATCGTCATAATTTTTGTCCCCACCCAACGTCCAGATAAGAATTTTTTGATCATTGCCACCACTGACCAACTGATTTCCAGGTTCGTGATAAACACAACAGTTAACCATGCTGTAATGTCCGTACATTTGCATTCCCTTGCCCGGTGTAGAAATATTGAAAGTTGTAATACTTGAACCGGTTGGAATGAAAGCAAAATTTGGTGAACCTCCTCTAGTCAGACAAAACTTAACACTTCGTTTTTTTATATGACTGACAGGAGGGTATCTTTGGGAAAGCTTTTTCCCTGAATGTACGTCCCATGTGAAAACTTTTTGGTCGGTTCCTATTGTGACGAGATGAAGGCCATCAGCTGTGAACTTCAATCCATTGACAGATCCATCATGGGTACAATCTGGAGCCATAAGAAAAAATAAATATTGTCTTAATGGCCAAAGCAGTTTAAATTAGCTTTACAGAGAATGTTAAGTACAAAGCTAGGATATCAACGCATTCTAAAGAATAGATTAGAAGCATAAAGTGTATACACAAAAGAAAAATGCGTTATTATAAAAAGATTATAGACTAATTATAATAAAAATGACCTACCTTTAGTAAAACCAGACTTTTTTTTAGATTTGTCTCGCAATTTCATAAGACAAGATTTTGCAGCACGAACATCCCACAGCATAGCATAGTTATCTATTCTAAAGAAAGATGTTAAAACAGTGTACACAATGAGGTAACAGTTTTTACATTAATGAAGGAGAATGAGAAATCACCAAATCTACAACTATGATCTAAATAAAATAGAATGATGGAATGCACTCACCCACCCGTCGCTAACAAAAATTCATCCTTGTTAGACCAACGCACAGCTCTCACGGCTCCCTCCTTGTGACCTCTCAGTGAATGAGTTGAAGATCCAGCTCTGGGGTCCACCAGGTTCACGATGGAACTGTCTGACCCAATAGCAATAAGATTATGTTTGGTGGCAACTGATGATAAATGGTGGCTGTGTACAATGCCATTAAAACTGTACTCCTCTGCTGTCTAGACAACAATTAAAATTTTCCAGTTACTAATTGACACACTGTGAGTTACCTAATTTCAATTGTATTCAAAAAACATGCATCTAATAATTGGATCCCCATACTACTGCCAAGAATTAATATGGTTCAGTTTTATTTTAGTAAAAATAAAAACTGTTTTATGAACTTTTTGTGTAACCTAATTGCTAGTTATGTTGTTAGAGCACTGATCTGGTTTTATTGCTAACTAGGCATGCTGCCCAGCTTCGCTTAGGCTTTCGAAAACATTGAGAATTTGAATGCTTAATTAATTCGCCCGAGGGTCGGTCTTCGACCTCAAGAGTTATGAAGAGGTTCCTCCGTGGACAATTTTTTTCGATTTATAGCTCATATAAGGTACCGGTCAGTCGAGGTCAGTTTTGACCCCTCATCGTAGACTTTTCGGCCAACGGGCCCCCGTGCTCTGTCGCCCCAAGGCAAGATCCTGCCAAATTTGAAGCGCCTGCGGCGCCGGGAAGTGCCTTATCGGACACCCGACAATCTAGATCTAGATCTAGAATCCTAATTGAATTTTTTTTTTTTAAGTTTAGTCCGAGCAAAATAAAAAAAAAATACATTAACCAAGTTGACTTGGTGGGTCTCGAACCCGCACCACCTGCGTGGTTTATAGTACACTAACATCTCCGCTATTTAGGCACCTTATAAAATACAGAGAATGAAAGACGTATTTTAAAATCGTAACTAACGCGAATATGCCTATTCTTTCAAATTAATTTTTTTATCCCAAATTAGCCAGTTCCAAACAAAGATTTTGTATAAATAAATGTTATGAGTTTAGGCCGGAAAAATTGTATTGTATACATTTCATAGTGTACGTAGATCTAAATCAAATTTGAATGAAATAGTTCATTTCTTTTTTATTCTAAACACGGCAGATGACGTCATTAGTAAGCAATAGTGTCGTCACAGTTTTATGCGTTCTTTTACACATCTATTAATGCTTTTCCGGTTGCATAAATAATACTGTTTCTCTACATTCGAATACGCCTTTATTTTTTATTTTTCTTCTTTAAATAAAATTGTGGTTATACATTTAAAACATCTAGCATATTATTTTCAACAAAAGTCCGTAAAAAGTTCTTCATATATTGCTGCCGATTCTGACGTGATGTCCGGCGAAAATTTTTTGCGGACAGAGAGAGAGAGAGAGAGAGAGAGAGAGAGAGATGTGCGAACGTGGCCCATTATAGATTTAGATTGCAAAGCTACCACATTATTGCTAATGACAATGCAACAACATTTATTCTACTCATTCATTTAATAAAAGGTTTTGCAATACCATTTAAAAACTCTGCTATGCATACCAAATGCTTTTATTTCAAACCAAAAAAACATCCAGGTGAGTTGTGCACAAACGAAAAAATTTGAGATAATTTACCTTTAAACTATTTGCATCCCATATTTTAAGCACTCTGTCGGCCCCACTGGACGTGAAAATTCCAGTGTCAAGCGGATACCACTGTACAGTCTCAATACTGCGACGATGAGCATTTCTATTGCCAGGTGATACAGAACACACCAGTTTGTAAACTCTGCTGTCTAACATGTTGTGCTCACTCTCTCTTAAATCTTCTAAATCATGAATGGCAATGGTACCATCTGAACCACCAGACAGCAAGCTGTAAAAATATAGATGTGTGATTTTAAATATAAAGTGATTTTAAATGCTCTTATTTATAAATAGTAGGTATATGTGATTGAGAAAGAAATACTTGAATATAGTAGGCCTATAAACTAGATTAAAGCTTACAAAATCTAAAAAAACAAAAAAATGTTTGCTAATTTTTCTGTGAACCACAAATCGAGGGAACAGCTGTTATTACTTAGAATATGTTGGTTTGAGTTAAGAATGATCATATTTTCACTTATTATGTGCGTAAAAGAAAAATCATTTGAAATGCATATTTGTTAATGTATTAGCATGAGAGGTGCTTTATGCTTACTATCTATTCTCTGTAATATCAATGTCCACATCATTGACCGCTCCAGAGTGAACTGTCTGCACATCTTTATGCCTGCTAAGTTCCAGCCTTTGCATATAATATGAACTTATAGCACGCTGCAAAACTAAAGGTCTCAACAAACCCACTGACTGTTGCAGAATACCATGCACCAAGGAATGTTGATGAGGAAGTGAAGCAATCATCTTTGGAGTGGTAGTTAGGTAATTCATTTTGAATAATTATAACAGCTTACTGCTCACACACAAACTTGTCACCAGGTACTTGTAATTTAGTAAATATAGGCCTAGGCCAATTGAATTTTAATTCTAGATCTAGATTACTAGATTCTAGATCTATCCCAAATTGTCAAATCCATTGAATTCACCACAGTCCACATCATCATGATGATCTGATCATCATTTGACATATCCATAGGCCATAATAGTCATAATACTGGCCTACAACACCTAGCCCTAAATAGTAAATAATAATAATTCCATGCAGTGGGTATTAACAAATTATAAGTATAGTGTCTACTGTCTAGAATAGTTAAGAATAATCTAGTGACTAACATCTAGTCTAGGCCCCTATATTATATAGTAATCCTAAAATATAAAAGCCCATGTGCGCACTTCTCTCTCTGTCTGCAACATATTTTCACAGGCTATCATATCAGTATCTTCAGCGATATATGGAGAACTTGATAAAGACTTTTGTTGTGAAAATAATATTGTAGATGTTTTAAATGTATAAACACAATTTTATTTAAAGAAGAAAAATAAAAAATAAAGGCATATTCGAATGTCGAAAAACAGTTCAGACAAGAACCGAAATCGATAAAGTCACATGTCATATGTTTGAAGTACAGAGGAGTACACAAAACCAATGGCATCATCTTCCATTTTTAGAATATGAAGAAATGAACTATTTCATTAAAATTTGATTTAGATATATAGATTTACTTATCAAGACGTAATTTATGAAATTTATACAATTTCCTGTGCCAAAACTAATACAAATTACTTTAAAAACAACATAAATACCATTGAAAAGCCGGGTTTTTAACAGAATCATTTAAGTCTTTTAATCAATGTGTACATTTAATATGGTGTTGTGTTGACAAATTATGTAGGCCTATATAATTTGGTTTTATTTTTTCTAATAGGTAGTAGTAGCCTATGTTATTTTAAATGTGTTGAACTTTTAGCTATTTCGTTATTTCTTTGCTTTGTCACTAATATCGTTAAACCTGTAGTAAAGCACATTGGGTTTTGACCAACAACTATTTTAAAAAATATTCTTCTAAAAATGTAGGCCTATAACATTAAAAAATAAAAATATATCATATAGGGGGCCTAGATCTAGACCTATAATTCAAGTGTAACGGGTACTGACGGCTAGTATACAATAAATATATATATATCTATCCTGATCCTATAACTACTAGAACTAGGGTAAAACTCCATTTTAGTATTTTTAGCTTATTTTATTCTCCGCTTCTTGTTTACCTCCAGTTGAGCGTATTTTATTAAAATAACGGAAACACACCAAAACATTAGGAAAACACGATTTATTTATTTGTATTGTATTTTTGTTTTAACAAATGAATAAAAAAAAACAAAGAGACTAGATTCTAACTTTGTTTTAGGTTTTGATAATTTACTTTTGTCAAAACTTGAGAAAAATCAAAATTTAAAATATTGAATGTGCTATGTTCATGTGTCAGTTAGAATTTTCATGGCAATGGGTGAAGTACGTAAACATAACTCACAATTGCAAGGCGGTTAAGTTTGTATTGTTACAAGTATATTCCAGGCATGATACTATAATAATAAATAAACATTTATGAACTTACAATAACCCCAAAACTGAAGCCAACACAATTTCAAACAGCTATTAGTATTATAGTATTGCCCGAGCTATGACGTATGCTGATAATTAAAGTCAATGTGAACTCACTGTGAACCCTTGACCGTGAAAGGATTTATGTAATTGGAACAGTTCTAATGCTTTTTTATGTTGTTTTTTTTTACCTTTTCTAATTAAAAATCACATTAATAAAAAAATAAGTAGATAGATCTAGTCTAGATTCTAGATCTAGAGTTTTCCTAACTTTTTTGTGTGTTTGGGTTGTGCTTACAATAAAATACGCTCAACTGTCAACTGGAGGTGAACGTGAAGCGGGAAATAAAATATGCTAAAATGGAGTTTTATCTAGATCTAGATTCAATATTCACTTTATTCTGACTGTCAACAGTGTACTGTACACTAACACTACACTCAACACTGACACTTCGAGTTGTGACACAGGCTGTGTGCTATTGTGCTCAATTTAAAAGTGAATTAACTTCATTTGACAATTTAACAATTAGGGCCTAAATTATAAAATTAAGTTCCAAACTCGAAACTGATCTGGCTGTCTGTGGGGATGGGACCAATGCCTTTCTCATTTTGGGAAATAAAAAAAGACTAGGCTATTTTATTTTTGTTTCATCTGAATTATTTATTTGACTGCATATTTTCGGTTCCTCTATTTGTCGTAAACTTCGTTATTATTTTTACGTACTTCACATAGGCAATCATATTATTTACTCACAGACCTATTCTACAAAGTTAAACTATTTTTCATACCTAGATTTATTACGGTTCTTTAAAAGACCGAGATGTAGATCTAGATCTAGATCTAAAGTCTAGCTAATCGGCACTTTATCTTTACGTATTGATTGACTCAGTATTGACTATTGAGCATTGGGTGTTCGCAGCTTTGAAGATTATGTTGCCAAAACTATTTTGCTACACTTTGCTACCGGTTAATAGTTAAACCAATGGTAGTAACAGTTATCTTCTCTTTGTTTACAAAATTCACGTGTCTGCCTCTACTTACACTTCTAAAAATTCAATAATGTCATCTCTTCAATTCGAAGGATGTAATTTCTTCCGAATGCGGTTGTTGTTATCAACATTAAGTGGGAAAAGTATAAAAATATCAAACATACGAACAGAACAGGACGATCCTGGTTTGAAAGGTGGGAGACTCAGAATTATTAATTCAAATTTATTAGGAATTTAGAATGACAATGGGAGTTGGACGTCGGAGATCAGGCGATTTTAATTTTACGTACCTAAAACGATAAATTACCAAAAATTAATTAATTAGCCTATTAAAAATAAAAGGTTATTTTAATGAATAGGCCTAAATAGTAAATAATTCATTAATTTCATTCAAATCACTCAACTCACTGTGACTCAGTCATTGAAGTTAGTTTAGTTCTAAATAAATCTACGAAGTGACTACTCTGAAAAAGATTTTTCAGGTAGAAGATATAATTATAAAACTCAATAGTTCTGCGCATGCGCAGTGACCATAATAGCTGTGCTTGGGTTAAGGTTTAGTTAAGCTAGATTTAAGGTTAGGATTAGGATTAACGTTAGGGTTAGGGATCTGCGGTTTGCTTGTAAACACATGCATGTGCAGTACTATCGCAAACATTGGAATTTTCTCTCCATTGCGCATGCATATTTTTGGATGTAAGTAGTTAGTAGGCCTTTTTCATTTTTCCTCAGATTTTGAAATCAGTTTCATCCGGTTGCTTGACAAAGTTACAAATGGATCCAAAACTGTTATAAATGAAACTGGTATGTGAAAATAACAGATGTAGCTAATTTAAAAAAAACAACAAAAATCATCCAAGTCAACAACACTTATTTAATCAATCTTTTATTTATATATATAAAGTAAATATTTGTATCTGTCAAACAATGCAGGTACTCAGATAATCTACAGACCTGGACTTCTGCTTGGTGGCGCCATAGACCATGATTGTCACCCATCTCGACCTATTGGCTACTACTTAGAGATGCTTATGTGTCTTGCTCCATTTACAAAAGAGCCTGTACGTGCAGTTCTGCGCGGAGTGACTAGTGATAAAGATGATCCATCAGTATGTTCTTCTCTTTAACAAAACCACTGTTATGATTGTGGGTTAGCTATTATTTTTTATTGTAATCTTGAGATAGATTAAAGTTCCACGCGCGGTTAAAACACCGGTGCGGCCATCGCCTGTTTATCGCTTCGTACAATATTTGTTTTGATGTTTTATACGAAACTACCGATATCTGCTGTAAACCTGTCCATTTCTAAATATATCCAGGTCAAATTATTTTGTTTTTCTCCTTCTGGAAGTCGAGTTTTTAAATTTTAAAGTTTCGAGGTATGACGTCGTAGGCGATTCTAGTTCCCGGTATGAAAAACACTAGGTCCCGGATGAGATGAATAAACTAACCAATCAAAGCTTTTTATAACTAGGTTAACTATAAATAGCTTCTACAATATGTGCGGGACACTGTACATACGATAGATAAGGCTAATAAAGCAACCTGATAGGTGAATAGGGGTGGCCGCAGCTTGGGTGTCGATTTGGGTGGTTTCACCTCGCCGCGTAACCAACGACTTGAGCTAGACTAGCCTAGTTCTAGATGCTCTACATTTCAAGCTAAGCCTACAATCTGTATAATTTCTATTTTTTTCTGCTGTTTTAAATTATTTCGATCATCTACCTCTTCTAAATCTAGTTTGTGTCTCTACATACAAGCATATCTAAGCAAATGTTACGTTGTCTTGTCAGTGGTTGTTACATCCCTTTGTTATGATTATTATAGTTGCGTCCCTTGAGTCATAACTGGGTCAACTTTTAATGTCGTTAATTAATTTAATTAACATGTTTTTAATTTGGTTTTGAAATCTATTAATTAATAATACAATCAACAACACGTTTAAAAGTGTAACATATTTATTTTATTTATTAAACTAGGATTAAAACGTATAAAACACGATCGTTACGCAAGCCGGTTCAGATGGCCGCAGGGAAAAAAAAAGAGGGGAAAAAAATATCGCAAGTAGCACGTCACTAAAACATGAATATCTCAAATTCAATGCGTAGGAATATAAAATGATTGATACATATTAATAGTAGAAAGGCAGAGGAATAATATAGTACTTTGGGTTTGTTTCTGTGTTAAACGGTTACAAAATAGCGCCGGATGAAAGTCGGGAGTTCGCTATTGGTGACCGGTTGTGGAACTTCACTCTAGATGGTACCAGCAAGCCATGATGTGATGCTCACTACCAGTATTACTAAAACTAAAGTACCAAATGTATGTCTTAGAGCCTGTTTTTTTGCTGGAATTCCTACATTATATCTGACCCTAACATCAGTAATGACACAAAAGGTCATTAAAACTAGGCTGTATTGTCCCGTCAATCTTATAAGAACGAAAACTTCTTAGTCAGTAATAGCTAATATAATAATCACTGTCCCCTCGTGTAGGACGCAGAGTTAAATAATGGGTACAAACGTGTATTAGCATTTTTAATTATACTCACATCATTCTAACCAAAAGTTTATATTCATTAAAAGCTGATGTTTTTACTGATCAGTTCAACTTTTATTTAAAAGGAAAAGAAATCTATCAGCAATACCATGTGAATATTGTTTTGTCCCAGGTGGATCTACTGAAGCTGTCTGTGTTTCCTGTGTTGAAAAGATTTTTAGGAACAGATGATGGGCTGGAGATGAAGGTGGGTGTGGTTTAACTTGCACATAACACATACATCTATCCCTAGGATAGTTTCCTGCACATAACACATACATCTATCCCTAGGATAGTTTCTAGCACGTAACACGTACATCTGTGCCTAGAATAGTAACCTGCTCATAACACATACATCTGTCCCTAGGATAGTTTCCTCCACATAACTCATACATCTGTGCCTAGAATAGTAACCTGCACAGAACATATACATCTGTGCCTTAGAATAGTTTCCTCCACATAACTCATACATCTGTGTCTAGAATAGTTTTTGGATTGATAGATAATTTATATTTTCCAGATCAACAAGAGAGGTGCCGCCCCTGAAGGAGGAGGGGATGTGTTGTTCACCTGCCCTTGTCGTCAGAAACTCAGACCAGTCAAATTTACACAGCCTGGAAAAATCAAACGTATTAGAGGAGTGGCGTATCCTTGTCAAATCATTGCTTTATTTATTTCACTGACTGTAACACATTATCATTAAGCTGATATTTTTAGCGATGATTAAAGATACTGATGTCCGTTAATAGACTAATAGGTGTGTTACGTTGTTAGTAGTATTGCAATCTCAACTAGTTTTATGGTTAGAAATTAGGGTTAGGTGTAGGGTAAAACCATGTGTGTATTTTAGTTAACTACCAGTAACCTGACCCAACTTTTTTAGGAAGATTCTATATAAAAAAGATTACCCTTAACGAAATTTTAGATGGGCAGTTCGTGTCTCTCCGGCATTTGTAAATCGTTTAGTCGACTCAGCTAGAGGAGTGCTCAACAAATTTCTAACAGATATTTATATCTACACCGACCACATGAAAGGTCACCAGTCTGGAAAGTATGTCAGGCTTGTGTTTTGTGATAGTTAAGACATGTTTAGTTGGAATTTTCTTATATCAAGCACTGCTCTAATAAACATACATTGTGCCACTATGCACAAAGTCATGGTTCTTGTGTTCTAGATCCCCAGGGTTTGGTTTAACTTTGGTCGCTGAAACAACAGAGGGAGCATTTCTGGCAGCTGAAGACGTGTGCAGCGCCAGAGCATCGGGTGAAGATCCCACGGTGCCTGAGGATCTGGGCAGACGGGCAGCGGTGGCGCTGCTACAGGAAATACACAGAGTACGGTTCCACATTTCTCACAGTTTTTTATCTTGACTGGCTTAATCATGTTGTTCTGAGATATTTTGGCTGTTTTTGTTTTGTTGTCAATGTGTACATTATTTTCTTTTTGCACACTATCGCAGAACCTGACAATTTCTTTTCAGCATGTTCATAACGGGTCTATGACAAATTGCCAAAAGACACTTGCCCGAATACTGTTTTCCTTAGGGCATTTGTTGCATTCAGGCAAGTGTCCATTAGGGCAAATGGCATTTCAGGCAAATGTCTTTTGGCAAAATGTCTGGCTTCCTTTAGTAGCTCTGACAAAATTAAAAGTCCTGTACTTCTAAAACAGCTGGTAGTAACAAAATAGTTGTCCATTTTTATCTTTCATCACAAACATCAGTGGTCAGACTTTTTAGCACCAATTATTTTACAATTTGTTTATAATGCTTTGTGGTCATTGTCATGATAGTGTTTTATTTTGTCCTCTAATTTATGGTTGTTGTTGTTTTTTTTACATTGATTAGTTGTTCAGTAACTTTTACAGTATTTAAAATTATCCCTATCACTATATTACTTAAAAACTAGTACTTAACTTTAAAATTTTGAATTAGCAATGAAGTGTTTATTTCATAATTTTATTTTTGCTGTTTTTTTTTGTTCTTATCACCAAACTGTAATGAAGAAATCTGTTGAATGAAAATCTGTCTGTCCAATTTTAGGGTGGTTGCATTGATTCCACTAGCCAAAGCCTCGCAGTCCTCATGATGGTTCTGGGTCAGCAGGATGTGTCCAAGATCCAGACAGGGGAACTCACTCCCTACACGTAAGTTCTTTCAGATTAAATTATTTGACAATTATAAGAGGTGCAAAATTACTTGTTTTTCAAAACATTGCACTATTGTTTTCCATAAAAATTATAAATGTCATTACATTTATAGTAGTTAATTAAATTGGTTGCATTTTTTGTTCATAGTATACAAATGCTGCGACATATTCGAGATTTCTTCCAAGTGACATTTAATATCAAACCTGATATCAGACCAGTTGAGACAAGCACTCAAGAAGGGGAAGAAGAAGAATTGAGGCTTGGTGCGGACAAACTTATTCTAACCTGCGTTGGTGTTGGCTACGCTAATGTCAGCAAGCCCATCAGATAATATCTGGGCACTTTGCTTTGTTGTAGAGACTGTAAATAAAATATCTAAAGCTAAAGTTGGTTTGTTTTTGTGAAAGGGCATCAGTAGAAATTTTGGTTTGGATGAGCTGTGATGTGTTGGCTTGTTATATTTATTTTATTTATAGTTAGTGGTTGCAACCTTTGAGTAATGAGTCAATTTATAAAAAAAACTAGCCGACCTGCGGGTGACAGTGAAGACTTCCTGAAAGACTCAATTGTCCAGATAAGTTGGGTGGGTACACACTGTTGCGCATGCCTGGAGAGCGAGGGAGGAGGGTTAGAGAGTCTGCGTTTGTGGTGTCCTGCATGGTTTGGCGATGTAGAGAACTATATATATATATAGATCTCTGTTGAAATATATTTAGGTAACCATAATGAAAGACTTCTTTAAGTATTGAATCCTTCAATTGATGGAACTGTGAATGTCATAAATATAAAAGTACCACGCTTGATGTTTTGGCTACAGAAGGGCAAAAAAAAAAAAAAATGTTCATTAGCTTAGCCAAGTGAGGACCTGTTGTTGATGTCCGCTTCCAAAAATCCAATATAAAAAGTGTGGTGATTGAAAGAGTGCAAGTATTTCAATGGTACTGAAAAATCGTAGTGTTAATCTACATACATGGCTAAAGCAAACTCGGAGGACTATGGAAGGAGAAGCTAGGGCTGTGAGGCTAATGTGGGCTCAGGTAAAGAGAGCTGCCCAAAGCTGTCTGGTGGAGGGGTGTAGCTGCAGCCCTCTGGTGGAGGGGTGTAGCTGCAGGTGCATCAAGGGAACTAAGTGAATCTATACACAATACACATTACTTTTTACAAAAATACATCGTTTTTTTTCTTACGAGGCCTCTTAAAATTATTTCGTTTGACGTAAAAATAAACAGTCGCTAGCACTTACTGATGAGTTCTATTGATATATTTCACTGATGAATGCTATAGACATATTTTCTAAAAAGTTGTGGCTATTAGTACCGTACTAATGATGTGTGAGCTTTGGCCGTTATAGCTGTATTTTGTTGTCAAAAGGACTCAAGGGCCAGTAAAGCAACAAAAATGTGTTGCCTAGTATTTTATGTCTGCTATACTGTTAGCACTATTTGCAAGTCGAAGACACGTGACCGAACTCACTGTAGATTGGGCAGATTACAACAAAGTGTTGATCTCAGGAGCGAGAATAACGCTGTTGGAAACGGTATGACGTCAAATGTGACGTCGTTGTTGAACGGTTGTTGGTAGGCAGGGGCGATTGGAAGTCCGATGTGACTGAAGAAAGATTTTTTTTAAAAATTGTATGGAGATAAATTGTACTTGAGGTATCTGATGTCTGCACGAAAATAAGATCAGACCGTCCTCAATCCCAGCATGGGTAGACATTTGTTGTAGCTGTTAAAAGGACAACCCCCCCCCCTCCCCATCAGATATTCAACATAGGTAGACATTTGTTGTAGCTGTTAAAAGGACAACCCCCCCCCCCCTCCCCATCAGATATTCAACATAGGTAGACATTTGTTACAGATGTTAAAAGGACAACCCCCCTCCCTCCCCGTTAGATTCTGTACAACCCTATGCTATAGCTATTGTGTTTCTCTCATTATCGGAGACAGAGCCTGGAGTCCGTTGTTCTTTTAAGAAAAAAAACTTTTTCAAAGTTTTTTTTCGCACTTTAAGGGTTATCATCTTTTTTTTTAAAGTAGCAATTTAACTACTAAACGAAAAATAAATTTAATTTATTTTAATTTATGCAAAACAAAACAAAAAGGAAGTTAAACTGTTAAATGAGTTAATGAGATTATAAGAAAAAGAAATCTCGAAAATGTAAATTGATGAAGAAAATATTTTTAAAAACATTATATGACGGAACCAATGATAGGACATTTACAACATCCTTCCAGGCTTTTCTTCCTGAACGTTTTGTTTTGTTTTGGTTGCTATTTATTTGCTGGCCCTGGCTAACCGTATATATTTGATCACAATACTATTACTTTACTATCTAGGCTAAAAAAAATGCTCCTATCGAAATAAGCAGAAAAAATAACCGTAACTGCAGAGTCAATTGTAACGAAATACCGTTTCATTTTATTAAATTTGAAGGATGTTTTTTTTTTAAAAGGCCAAATAAAAAATCAAAACTCCAGTCGACGTATTTTACATTTAGCAGCAAAGGTTTACAGTCCGTATAAATTATTAATTTAGTATAAATAAATATCTGACCATTTCAGTCTAGCTGATTCTATTTATTTTTGGTATCTGTACTTCACGTAATTACATTTAAAAAAAAAAAAGTAACCGAAGTTCAAGTGAAATAAACATAACTAAAGTTTGCCCTCTATAATTGGACTATTGATTAATCTCATCGCAAAAGAAACTTTGAAAAAAAATGTTTCATCCGGGCACCTATCATTACGCACAGGAAGTGGCCATATTTCTATAATCACGGCACGTTGGTTTGAGAAGTATAAAGAGTCTGGCCACTATCTTAACTGTGAAACATTGACTTTGGCTTCCCCCTTCTAGACGGTCCTGTCCCTTTTGTCGTCTAAACAAATCTTTTTGTGCGCATCAAAGATTTTCAGCTGAAATAAAAGTTCGGACATTTTGAGAGCTCTTCTGGAAAAAAGGGGGGAAAAATAGAACAAGCAGAAATACGTCTTCTGTCATATTTGGCTTAGCAGATGAGCAAATGTTGACTTGGGGTTCCAGAAGGGCTCGTCTTTCAAAATAACATCTATAAATCAATTGAGCATACATCTTTACAGAGATTGGCCAATAGACTGCTTGATTTCCCTTGCTCCAAGGGTGCTTGGAAAATGGGCTTTGATGGGTCCAATTGGGTAGATTTTGGGACCGAATAACTATCTGGTAATGACTAGGGAACCCATTCGCGTGAGCTTACATACGCAACTCTTGGATTGGATTATCGAACTTTACGATACAGGGTGGCCGTTCTTTTCTCCCGGGGAGAATAGAAAAAGGGGGCGGGGTTGGTTGCTGATCTATTGTGATGGTAGGAAATTGGCTGCAGAAGTGTTGTGATGGGAGACATATTTCTTGCTGAACTCGAGTTTTTAACTTTCGTGCCACATGGGATTTAGAGACACACAAATTTATAGTTTTCGGCTTTTTTTTTCTTACTTTGTTTTGATCCTGTTTGTTTTGGCATCCATTCCAAAATTGTGCTAATTTCGTATAGTAAAATTATAAAAAAAAAAATAATACCTGAAGCAGAGGCGTAAAACAGAATTTTTTAAAGGGTAAGTTTTCCATTCCTCTTCGTAAATTCGTATTTATGTATAGACATAATATATATAAATAAATATATATATATATATATATATATATATATATATATATATATATATATATATATATATATATATATATATATATATATATATATAAACAATTTTCAGGACGTGAAACAGAGATTTTCCGACACTCAAGATTCTGAAGCTGTAAACTCTAAATAACACAAACGCACCGTTGCTAAAAGCTTTAGTTAGCATGGAGGGGGGGGGGTGCAGAGGTTGTTCTAGAACCCCCACCTCCCTTTCCCCCTACACCCACTGATATAAAATACGCCAATGATCTCATCTGATATCATTGTCTGATATCGTTGTCTGATTTTATTGACTGAATGATTGTCTGAGTGATTGTCTAAGTGATTTTCTGAATTATTGTCTGACATGATTGCTATTACAAAAACTCATTCGCTTTACGTAACCAAAAAAAAGGGATTAGGACAATTTTTTAAAAAATAATAAAACATGAGCTGAAAAAAGAATCCTTGTTAAGCATGGCCATCTATGTTTTCTCTTCATATCACGGTAAAACTAAATATTTTAACAATAATCTTGCCACCATTTTGTGTATATCACAGGAAACAAATGTACGGGTAAAAAATAGATGGATGTTTTGATTTGTTTTAAATAAACAGTCTATGTAACAATTGATAATTGTCTGTACAACTGATGGAATGGCTGTTCTAACAACTGATGGAATGGCTGTTCTAACAGCCGATGTTCAGGCTGTTACAATGACAGCCGAATGAACGTCTACTCAGGACATGAAAAAATCGAATGAAGAAGTAGAATAGAAAAAAAGACTATCTAAAAATGTAAACCGAATCTTCTAGAGTAGAACATCTTTGGCCAAAAGAACTTGACCTATTTATCTAAAAATGCAAACCAAATATCTTTGAGCGGAACATCTTGACCAACAGAAATTAAACTGTTAATCTAAAATGCACACCAAATATCTTTGAGTAGAGAATTTTTGGCCAACAGAAATTAAACTGTTAATCTAAAATGCACACCAAATATCTTTGAGTAGAGAACTTTTGGCCAACAGAAATTAAACTGTTATCTAAAAATACAAACTAAATCTCCTAGAATAGACTATTTCTGGCCAACAGAAATTAAACTGTTTATCTAAAAATGCAAAGCAAATCTTCTAAAGTAGAGCATCTTTGGCCACCAGAAATTAAACTGTTTATTTAAAAATTGCACACCGAGTCTCCTAGAATAGAACATTTCTGGCCAGCAGAAACTAAACTGTTTATCTAAAAATGCAAACCAAATCTCATTGAGTAGAATATGTTTGGCCAACAGAAAACAGAATCGTTATCTAAACATGTGAACCAAATCCCCTCCTAATCGCCTCATCTTGTTGGGAGGATTTTGTAGCCAAAAAAACATTGAGCTGGGTTTTGCTTGACGAAGACGACCTCTATCCCATTCTGAGATAATATTAAAATTATTCGTCCTATGATCAGATGTATGAATACAAATGTGTAGGCTGGCACAGAGAAACATTTGTGCTTGATACACCTCTTGAAGTGTAGACGTAGGCAGCAGTTGTCTACACGTAGGGCATTAGTAGTCTTCCCGTTGACAGCTTGTAGACTATGTGAAAGCTGATGTATTTTACATGTAGTATTTGTGGACACATGTATTTAACATTTGCTTGTGGACACCTGAAGTTGACTTGCAGGCTTTTGTAGCCAAAGTGTGGACAGATTTTACCATTTTTGGCCAAGTAAGTAGGTCACAACTTCTCGTTCTCGTACTATTCAGCTAGTATATTTCGAGACCGTAGACTTACAAGCCCAATAGGCATGATGTCTACATGGAGATATCTGTAGTCTATGTGCAGCCTTTTAGTCTTAATTTTGGGCTTAGTCAGTATTACCGCAAAGTGGTGTCGGTGGTGCAGACCACACGGGATGTCACTATCCAAAGGAGTGGGGGTGACACCAACGTGAAAAATTACTTTCACTTAGAAAATGTGTCTTTGCATTGTTAAGAGATTACTAAAAGTAGGTGACACCATCGGAATGGGCTGACGCTATTGTGTATATATATATATATATATATATATATATATATATATATATATATATATATATATATATATATATATATATATATATATATTATATATATATATATATATATATATATATATATATATATATATATATATATATATATATATATATATATATATATATATATATATATATATATATATATTCTAGCCTTTCTATTGATTCAGCCTTATTTTAAATGGATTATTTTCTAACATGAATGACATTCATGTGCCATTTTCTCTGACCTTAGATCTAAGATGTGTATCTCAAGTCAGATGCGTGAAGTGCAGGCTATTATTTTAAATTCCGCCTCCTTTAGAAATGTATCCGTGTTTCTCTCTATACCGCTAACACACAGCGAGAGCATTGCGTCTATTGTTTTAATACAAAAAAATCTAATCATTAAATTGATTAAACGAAACAATACATATCATTAAGCACACTGGTGTGGTGATGCTGAAGTTGTTCTGTGGTCTCTGAATGAAAGCGACTAAGCTGTTATGTTGTTATCAACGTGGACTATTCGCTTCTCAGCAGTATACCTCCACCCCTCACCCCCACCAAGGTAAAAAAAAACCCACATAAAATCATTATCAGCGACGCAACTAAAATGATGGGCGAAATCGATTTCAATCATTGCTACATGCGAATCTGGCATCTGTCCCTGATGGAAACTAGAATCGCCTCTAGCAGAAGATGTCTACCCCTTCCCATCCCAACGCTAATCAATACTGCCCAGTCTCCTATTTTACCATTTATTGTTTTAGAGTCCACGGAACGTTAATAGCAAAAAAAAAATATCTTCCAATCAGATTGAGCTTCAATATTGTTGCTAAATGATTTTTTTTTTATCAGGACAAAGGCTCATCAATCGGACGTCTTTCATGCCTGCACCAAATTGTGTTCCTAATGCGCCCATGCAAAAACTTATAATAGGATTTTGGTGCTCCGTCATTGGAACGGACATGTTGTTTCAGTATCATCCACGCAATGATCATCGAGTTAGAACGACTATCCAATCAGATGCAGTGTAGCGGTCACATGACACAATGGCGGCGATGTTTCTGTAGGTGGGCTGGGTAGAATTGAAGTATTTGCGTTGGCGATAAGACGGTTAACTGGGGAGGCTTTAAGTAATGTCATTAGGGGTTAGGTCTGATACACTGCTGTAAGCTGGATCAAGAGGAGGGGGGGGGGGGGGGGTGAAAAGAAAAGGGTATGAAAGACGGGGAGAAATGGCATTTTAGGTGGAGGAGTTAAATAATAATTTCGGGTGGGGTGTGTGATCAAATTGCAATGAAAGGAGGAAGGGATTCATATTATTGTTATGGAAGGTCGGGGGAGGGTTAAGAAAATTGAGGTGGCGTGCAAAGAGGGAAAGATGAAAATAATGGTGTGTGTGGGTGGGGGGGGGGTGAATGAGAAAATGGCAATAAAGACCAGGGGAGAGTGTGTGTAATGAAAGTGTGTGTGTGTGGGGGGGGGGGGGGGAGATAGTAATATGTTACCAAAGAAGAAAAACCAAGCAAGTAAGACAAATGAGGAGCAAGATTGCGCGTGTCGTTTTGGAGATAGATAATGGCTCGGTGACTGAGCAAAACTGATATATTGTTTTGTAGAAGGAAAAAAAAAAACAACAAGCAACCCCAAAATGATATCAAAATATTTATTCATTCAGTCTTCGCTGGTCATTCAACAGACAAGAAAATATCATACAAGATCAAACAAATTGAAACAAGTTTTAAAAATAACACAAGCTCCACCTTCTGTGGAATCATTAAAAAAAATTGTCTCTCTCTCTCCAACACCCAGGGTCATCACGATTGTGCTAGCATGTCATCAAATATGCCCTTTTTACCAAAATAAAAAAAAATCCACATTGAATAATTTCAACAAAACAACCTGCAAATTACTGGCCTACACGCGCAGTCCTTACACTTGACATTTGAAGGGTGGGTAATGCAGGGGTGATCGCTGTCCTAATGATGGGATGGATTGATTCTATTTACACCACAAAGCATGCTGCACACCCCTCCCAGCTAGTTAGAATGGTAGCTCCCATTCAGGTACACATGAGTGATAAACAACGGCTTGGTGTGTCCTATTTTAATCAAAAAAGGGGACAGACAGGCCCACCCCGACTTGATTTACAACCAGCTTCTAACTACAAAATTTAAATCAAGAAAAACACAACAAAGTTAATGTTTAAAAAATGCATTTGATTTTTTTTTTACATGGAATATGACCCAACAGACTGATTAAAATATGTACATGCAATGTAAAGGGGCTGCTGCTAATGAATTAATTAAGTACACAAGGTAAAGAAGGTAATGAAGGTGAGAAAAATAATTAATTAGGATCTGTCACTAAACCAGAAAGGGATATTTATACTTTGAGTGTACAGGAAATGACATCTGAAACACAAACTCAATGACACCATCGCTATGTAACAATGTGAGTTAGATACACATCATGAGCACGCTACATTCCTAGGTTTATCTATAGCCTTGGCGCAAAACTAATGTGTAAAGCTATGTGCACAACTTTTGTGTGAGCTACATTTGAATGAGGTGTACCCGCATTCTCAGACATGAATATAAAATTACTCGCCCATAACTCATAACAAGATAAGATGGTGCTGGCTTGTATTAGGCTTTCATAGGTATGGTAAATTTAAATTTAAAAAAAAAAATACTTCAGACTAATTCAGATTAGAACTATCCAAACCTGCCCCAAATATCCTTCTATCTTCATATAAAATGTATTCATGTGTAACAGCTAACCTCTCCTCATCAGCATGATGAGTGTGAAAAATCAAACGAAGGTGCTTAACTTTATAAGCTAAAAAAAGTAAATATTCCAATCTAAACCGGTTTATAGAACATGATAGCACTGGGCTTCTAACAACATCCATTTTAACAAGACTACACCCATGCCATCTCTACCATGGAAGTATAGGCCTTAATTTACTTCATAGGTCAACAATTGAAAAACAGACAAATTCCTACACATGGTTATGAATTTAATTGGATAAAAAGAGAATACTATATACAAAGTATATTTAATAACGCGATGTTTAAAAATTAATGATAAAAATGTATGAGCTAATACTAGCTTATATCTGGTTTAGTGGAATCCTGATTGGAAAAAGTTTAAGGGACTTAAGGGATTGATTGGATGATAGTGGTGTGCATCTAATGTAACTTAAGTAGATAGGTGTAGTGTCTCTTGTCTTGTGGAATGCCTACGTACAAGCATATGTTGTACTGTGTAATCCCAGCATACAAGCATGTTTTCTGTAATGCCAGCGTACAAACATGTCATACTGTGTAATGCCAAGTTACAAGAATATGTTGTATTGTGTAATGCCAGAGTACAAACACATGCTGTACTATGTAATGTCAGGATGTGACTATTTAAAAACACACCTATTTAAAATTAGGTATGAACCCTGTGAAGGTTTACTCTGTAAAAATATTATTGAACATAAAAGCTAAAATTTAGCAAATATTTAGCATATAATGTTTTAAAGGTTATTTTATACGTTTGCGTCTTGAAGAGTTGGATACAATGAAATGTGTCATCATTCATAAATGTCAACTAAAATAAGAGGAAATTAAGGAAAAATGTTGACATAAACTTATGCCTTTGAAAAGAAGGCATCAGTCTAAATACACCAGAGCTTAATACAACATAGGTAGAAGTTCTGTACACACACATCAAGTTAATCCAACAACTCACAGATTAAAAGATCATCACAAATCATCCACGATATCACTTTAATAAAATGTTTTTTTAATTAATGTAATTTATAACATAAAAATGTTCATTAGTTTATACAATCCATGTTTTAATAAAAAAAAAAAACAACATCATCATCTCATTAGCATATGCTGCCAAAAACAAGACATTAACAAACATTCATTACAATCTCTTAGGCAAAAGCATTTGAACATTTTCTCAAGTAGTATTCTCACATCCTTGTACACTTACAAAAAACTTATTCGTAGCATTATTAAAATTCATCATACTTCATTCAGAAATTATAACTTTTTTTATATATTAGATGAGTGACATTCATAATTCATACACTCAAACCCAAAGGCTTTAAGAAACATTCAGAACCTGCACACTTTCATCCACAGGCCACACTCAGTAATGTAATAAATAACTTGGACTGGACAAGATGATAGTGTGGTGGGGAGAGAAGGTTGCAGTAAGAATCCTGATTTGGATATGGAATTACCTTCTGTAACAAAATATTCAACAAGAAATCACATCCACTTTTTTCCTTCTCAAACCTAAGTTTCAATTTATAACTCTCCTTTATGATTCCAAATGTATTCTTATCTCAAGATTTGAAAATGAAATGCTGAAGGTAGAAGATGTTATAAGCAGTGCTTTTTATTATTAGAAAAGTTTGACAGCTACTTAAAATCTAGTTACTTATTGATTAGGATAGTAATTACTTTTCAAAATAACTGCAATCAGTCTAAACTAAAAAGTGTCAGTATGACTTTAAAAAAAAATTCCTCTAGTAGTGTCTATCTGATGGAAAAAGATGAATGCTGGAGGGAAGAAATAGATCAAAATATGAGATGGTGGAGGGGAGTGTTCAATTAAGGTAGTGCCGACACATTTGGAATGTACAAAAATAAATGTCTGTAGCTGTGGACTGGGCCTTTGCCTTACAATATAAAAGCTGTAACACCTATCTGAGGCACCAGGAACATGTATTGCTAAGGTCTAACACAGAGCCTGGGGATGTCTGTCTCTGTAATCCCCAGACTAACAGAACCTGCAGATGTCTGTCTACCTCACTAATCCCCCAGACAAACGCTAGCATTCGCCATAAAAACACACGGATGATGATCAAGTGGACTTCTTGTATTTACAGCTTTCTTCACCGCAGCAGAGGGGTAGGGACGTCAGGGGCTATAAGTCAACCTCATCCTCGTGTGAATATCCAGACACCCGCGAACACAAACAAAATGATATCACAATACCAAATACCTGGAGGGATGGAACAAAAATGTGTAGGTATTAATTTACAGGAACTAGTACATCTAACATACATCAACAAAAAGATATGACAATACCAAATATCTTGAGAGATGGAAAAAAAAGTACTAGTTATAAATTTACTGGAACTAGTAGATTGATGTATTGAAACACATAAACACAAACAAATTGATATGAAAATACCAAATATCTTTATAGATAGAAGAAACAGTATTTTAGTTTTTAATTTACTGGAACTAGTACATTTAATGTATACAAACACATGAACACCAACAAAATGATATGACATTACCAAATATCTAGAGAGATGAAAAAACCAACTAAATACTATAGTAATTTATCTACAAGAATGAGTACATTGAATGTATCTAGACACCACATTTTGTCAGGATATACAGTCCTGTGTGACAGAGTAGGTAATGTTCAGAGGGTGGGGGGGGTGGGGGGGGTGGGGGGTTGGTGGGGGGGAATCAAAATTTTGAATCAGGTGCATTTAATTATTTTCTTCAATGGAAATACTTGAAAACAATCCATCTCCTTACATATGATATGAACTTCTAAAGATGCTTTTGTTTTATCATAAATTAATAAACAACTAATAGTTTTTTCAGTTGTTTTGATATATATACCTATTATAAGACCATCTTGTTGGCAATCATTCTAGCACTAATTGTAATACACAGAGAGCAAACTAGCACAGGGTACAATGTGATTCTAATTTATTTTCCTTAGTTTTAGCTCAGGCCCTAACAAAATTTACAATTACTCCCAATACATGGCAACCCACGTTCATGTATTTGATTTGGTTCGAGGTCATGTGATCAGTCAAACATTAGTTCCTAGCAGTTTAAAATGACAGTAAATTGCCTACCAGAAATAGAGGCACAACGGCAGCTACAGTCCCAACCACTGCAGAATATGTGTGCAAGTAGTCCAGCAATGCATCATAGCATCCCTAAAAAATAGTTTAATATTAGTGCTTAAAATTTCTAATACAAGTAAAATTTTTAATGCAAGTAAAAATGAATATTAGATTAAGAGAATTGATTTTTAAGAAAGAGGTTAGCATAAAAATTTCCTTGATGTTTCTCCTTCAATTAAATTCAAACCTTTATTTGAATAAGGAAATGCTAACCATACTGCATAAATAGAGACAATGTTTTTTAACTGCAAATATTACAGCAGCAAATAGTGAGAGCATTTGCTTACTGTGGTGTACAAGTAGGGGTTAGTCTTCCTGTATTCTGGGTTATGGTTGTTGTGATAGCTAGGTGGGCCTCGAAACTCTTCTTCCCCTGTACAGATCTTCACATTGCCAGGAGCGCAGCAGCTCTCTGGCACCATGAAAGTACCTCCTACTGTGGAAGACATCAAGACCAGAGTGGCTGTCAATACGTTGTGGGGATAAGAATGGGGTGTATATGACAACTGTATCATATTTTACAAGTGTGTCATATTTGCCAAGTATGTCATATTTGCCAAGTGTGTCATATTTGCCAAGTATGTCATATTTGCAAAGTGTGTCATATTTGCCAAGTATGTCATATTTGCCAAGTGTGTCATATTTGCCAAGTATGTCATATTTGCCAAGTGTGTCACACTAACATGGAAGTCCAGAAAGTCTGTCATATATGAACATATGTGTCATTCAGGTATGTGTCTACATAGTGGATCATGGACGTGATAACTGGGTCATGGCAAAATATGTGGTCTTAGAACAGAATGTGTGTTAAATAAAATGTTTTTACAGCAGATTATGGGTGCTCTTGTTACAAAAATGTGCGTTAAAATGGTCTTCTGACAAGTTTTGGGAGGTCTTGTAACCGTCTGTTAAACTAATCTGTGAACTCTCATGTCAAACCATGTTTTAACCTGGACTCACAACAACATATAAACTACAATCTAAAACACATGACTGTAACTAATAATACAAAAAACCCAAGTGCATCAAAAGACCCAGTAAATAAAGCCATGAAGACATGAACCAATGAGTTAACCCGTGCGTCAAATAACCCATGACCCAATGAGAAAAAAAACCACAGCCAAAATGATTGATATGAGGGATGACCTTTTTTAAGAATGTTCTCACTTTTGGAATTAAACCACTTGGTGTTGGACTTGTAGAACATCCAGGAGCTGACTGAGGTCACGTTGCCCTCAATACCACAACACTGAAGCTGTAAGAACAAACATAGTTAACATTTCTTCTTATCCTTTACAAGGACATATTGTTAACATCTTTTCTAATCCTTTACAAGAACATAGTTTATAGCATCTTTTCTAATATTTTAAAATTTTTATACTGCAACCGAGTTTTATTCTAACATTTAAATTTTTTTTATTTAATGCTTTTAAAAAAAAAAAATTAAGACACTGTTTTCTTTAATGTAAGCCAACTTTTAAAGTTGCAGAGTTATTAATTATTTATAATGTAAAATATAATTTTAAAAAATGATATTTTTTAGGCTGTGTATGTTTGGGCTTTACCTGTCTTTGCATAGCATCCCAGGCGTCTGTTATCCTCTTGTTTTCATGATTTGTCCTAACGTCCACCCCGTAACTAAGAGACAGGGAATCTTGCATGCGTGTCTTTATTTTAGACGCCAGCTGAAATCAAACATCAAGATATCAAGCCTGCTCCACATTTCACTTTTGATGGAAATCTGCCTAGCTTCAAGGTTTTTTTTTTAAAAATCAGCAGTATTTCAACATTTATAATGCTGGTTAGTGTTAGATTTTAAGATGAATATTGTGGTAAAATAGGGCCAACGTTCAAGTGTCTATAATAGTTTCATTAATTTAGTTTAAAGACTTGAAAAAAGGCTACATTATCTTTTGTTTGTTAAATATTTATTTAAAATAAAATGCTGTATTGATGTTTCTCTTTAGATAGATACCAGAACAGTGTACTCAAAAACACAGCTGGTCTTCTACTGTGGTAAGATTCTTACCTCACTCCTGAAAAAAAAAGCTAAGCCACAAGCTGCACCCAGCACAATGAAGACAATGGCTAATGTTGTCCCATACTGAAAGTAAACAAAAGTAGTATTCTTGTATTGGTATAAGGAAGTCTGTCAGAAATGGTATAAGACTTTACAAGAACAGAATTAAAAAACAAACCAAAAAAAAAAGGCCGATTCTAGTCGGAATAAGATACGCATGCGATACGCATGCGCAATGGAGAGAAACTACAACTTAGCGGCGATGTTTTCGATGGTACTGCGCATGCGTGTGTTTACAACCGCAGAACCCTAATACCAACCCTAATCCTATCCTTAACCCTATCCCTAATCCTATCCCTAACCCTAGCCCTAATCCTATCCCTAACCCTAGCCCTAATCCTATCCCTAACCCTATCCCTAACCCTACCCCTAACCCTCATTCTAGCCCTAACCCTAGCCATAGGTCACTGCGCATGCGCAGAACTATCTTTTGCCGAAAAATCTTATTCCGAGTAGACACTTTGAAAAAAAAATCCCCATAATTTTCAGATTGTAGTTAAATCCAGTTTCATATTAAACTATCCATATTTAAGCATAGAAAGGACTCCTAAACATACAAAACTAAGTATTTTTAAAATACTTACAAAATAAAAAAAATGTCATGTTCCAAAATATAGAGAGAGTGGAAAGGTTAAAATATGTAAATACCAAAAGCTATTTTTTAATACTTGAATGGTTTAGAAAAAAATAACTTACAAAAGAAAGTACACATTTATCTTCCCGAATTGTGCCGCAACATCCACAGAAAGCAAGCAACGCCACAGCCCCTCCTCCTGCTATTAACAAATATGTTGTGACTTCATACAGCTGGTTGCCAACAATTGGGGTAACTTTCCTGGCACCAAAGTCTGTCACCAGCAGCCATATACCAACACCTAATGCTGCACACCCTACAATCTGTTCAAACATCAAAATTTGAGTGAAATTTTGCAACGAAGTGTGTTCTATCTCTACTATATTATAATTTATTACAACTAAACTTCTAGGACTTGTAAAAACAATTTCTAGGCACAAAATGGATGTTAATAAAGTACTAAAAGACATCTGCTCAGGATCTATAATACTTTTAAGCATACTGATACTCTTGTGTACACGTGTTATGATCCAGAACATTTTGTTTAGGTTAGGGATATGTATATAAGTTAGTGATTAATGTTTTTAAAGTCATAACCATCTCCTGCTAGTGATATGGGAAAAAAATATTTTTTGAATGAGTGTAAGGTAAATGTGTTGGGACAGGAATGTATGGTTAGGATGGGGAGAAGTGTGGGGATGCAGGTGGAGGGGGGGTTAATGCTGTAGGTGGCGCTTGATGTCAGTAGAAATGGGAAAACAATTAACTACAGTAAATCAGTCAACAGATAAACCATCTTTTTTTGTTTATCAAGGACCAGCCTGAGAAGAATGTGTGTACACCCTGGTCTGCCACAGAACCCAGATCATTAGTGCTGTGTCTAGCCAGATTGATGAGGTCAAAGTTCACTTACTAATATAAAAACATTGTAGCAGTGTAAGGTTCCCCTAAGACATGTGACGCAGCCATCTTCATGCTGTCGCCGCTTGGCTGACGATGTGGCGCTGCGTGCTGATCTGTTGCTTCGTTGCCGTTTCAACGGCTGGAAAGAGAGAAACAGATTGTTGAAAATAGGAAGACTATGTTAACTGAATGAATCAAATAGGAAGACTATGTTAACTGAATGAATCAAATAGGAAGACTATGTTAACTGAATGAATCAAATAGGAACTATGTTAACTGAATGAATCAAATAGGAAGACTATGTTAACTGAATGAATCAAACTCTCTTCATTGCTCATTAAACAGATTGTTATATACGGTTTATATTTTGATGAAGACCTAACTAAGTCTAATTTTTAAAGAAATCAACACAAACACTAATTTAAATTCAGTGGTTTGTTACAGTTAAATTAACATCATCCAAGTTTAATGGTGTTGTGTAGTTTAAAAGTCCTGAGTATGATCAAATCTAAATACATTTATAAAACATTGCATTTATTTGAACATTTATTTAGAAAAAGTTGTTTTTCTTCAAACAATTTTTTTTCATTAAAAGAAGAGCTCATAGAGAACAAGTAGGAAATTTTTAAAAATTATTCACATTTAAATAATCAATGGCAACATAATTATAAACATCTGTAAAAATCAAACTAAAAAATTTATGTTGCAACAAGTGAAATAATGAACCAAATATAACATGTAAAACTTTTAACAGGTAGTACACCTCACTTAGGTCTATCCCTTCAACATGAGTATTTTCAAAAGTCTGAAATCAATTTAAGGTAAAACATCAAGACAGCTGGAACTAAAAAGTGGTTTATGTATATGAATAAAAATGAGAGCAACGTATTAAGATTTGTAAAAGAATAGATACGAGAAATGTCAAAGCTTTACTAATTAACTAATCGTGGATGAGAAAAGGAGGAGCACTATAAGTTGCTCAAATAAGATGGGTATAGATCTAGTTCTTTAAATACAATTTTAATGCTAAAATTATAAGGCCAATTGTAGATGGAAAAAGATACGCATGCGCAATGGAGAGAAGCTACATCTAGCCGTCGGGGCAGGCGATGTTTTCGATGGTACTGCGCATGCATGTGTTTACAAACCAACAGCAGAACCCTTGCCCTAACCCCAAACTTAGCTATTAAGGTCGCTGCGCATGCGCAGAACTATCTTTTGGCGACCAGGTGGAGACACTGGGGGGAAAAATCTTTTTCTGAGTAGTCACTTTGAAATTATTAATAAAATAATTATGTCATTCAGATTAATCTGAATTCTATTAAATTCTAAAAAAAAAATTATCTTATCTGAGACATCTCATGTTGATTTGATAATATTTGTGTCACATAATTTTTTACGTCTGTCGCGCCCAACCAATGTTTTTAGTAGTGTATAATTTAATCTTGATTCCACTTTTTAGCGCAATTTCCATACTGACAATTGCGATTATTAATTCATTATTTCTGGATGGATGGATGTGTGTCTGCAGCTTTAAGTCGTATCTCCTCCTCAATGAAGCAATATCGAGGACTAGTTCCAAAGCAAATATGTTAAGCAAGTTCCGAGGATGATTGTGGGCCAAAAAAATTCCCGGAATTCCTTCCTGGATTTCCCGGAAAAGCCAAAAAACCTCGAAAAAATGCAGTTTTTGGCCCATATTGCGGCAACCAGACCACTTAGCGACTTGAAACATTTATTAATCGATTCCTGCCATAATTTAGAACAATATTGCAGAAGAAAGTTTTCAAAAATATATCCTTAGTTCTGTCACAATTTTTTTTTTAAAATAAGGAAATTGCGCTTAAATTGTCACTAGACTTTTTATTAACTTGTTTTTAAAAGAAAGAAGATTTCTAGATCTACAATCTGATTCAGTGATTAGAAATAGAATTATTTATTAGATCTAGAAATCTAGATCTAGCTAGCTAGATTCTAGAGTTTTTTAACCCATACCTCACTTATCAACCCTATCAAATATCAGCATTATGATCATAGGTGGCTTTAAGAGAATGTCAATGTAGATCTAGATTCTTGATCTAGTCGATAAATGAACCAACCTGTTTCAGTTCATTTAAAACCTCGAGTGGAAGAATTGGCGTCAAGCCAGCTACATGTGTTAGATCAACATGGTTGATGACAGGCTTAGCCTTGCGTATTGTAGCTACATGTAAATTTGGATTGGAATATGTAGTTTTACAATTAGGTTCATAATAATTATTGAATTTATTGACATATTCATAAGCCATTTTATTCAATACATCAAGAAATAATAATTGTCTTTCGTTGAGATTTCAAATGATTGGGTTACAAGCAACTTGTCCGGAAAACTATTTCACAACACTGGAGATCCAGTTCGATAAGATCTATTAATATTTCACAACACTGAAGAGCGACCCAGAACCCTCTCCCACCCTTATTTACAAGCCATTATGAATCTCTTTTGTAAATATGACGACTGGTTCGGAAATGCATTGCATGCGCAAAAAGTGCAAGTTTTCGTTTCTTTATGGTAAAAACTTTGAAACTGAAATGAAGTTTGTATTGGAAACGCGTTCCCCAACGTTAGTGTCTTGTATTAAACATTGACGTCATGCTAAAAGCAAGTTTTATTAACTCCGGCAGTGTTGGTTTAGCATTGCTTCACTTGGCTTCGTACTGGTAATATTCCACATGATCCTCGGAGTGAGTTACCCACATTCTTTTAATAATTTAAACTGTGGGCTTATTATTATTTCAAAATTTTGAAATTGTAAGCATTGACAGAGTCACGAATAACTGTAAGGACATGAGACAGTTGCCATTTTGGAGGTCTGTGGGTGGGTTCTTTCTAATCTCCCCATCCCCCGGAAAATATGCTTCCTACACCACAGAAGATAATATCCTTTAAACGTAATTGAGAAAATGTGAAAGCATTTCGGTTAAGGATTAGCGTTGACATTACTGATATCAATCACTAGCCCATCTTCCCTATTTATTGGAATTCTGTCGTCTGCATGCTAAGTACCTAAAGTACTTTTGTAGCACTGGTATCGCTGATATGGAATGAAAGTCAAACAATTTAAAAGTCTATCGCATGGAAATACGTTAAGGACACACAAAAAATGGAGATGAGGTGGGGGTGAAGTGGGTGGGGTATAGACCCGAGTTCATAGGTCAGTGAGCATGTGACTAATGGACCAAAGTCCCAGGCCGACAATCTTGGCCAGATTTTGCTCCATCGGCTAGCTGAGTGAACAAGTCTATGGTCTAATGGGATTGGTAACGCTTAAAGGCCAGATAAGCGGGTCGATGTTTGCCGGTTAATCCTATATACTTATGTAAATACGAACAATTTTGTCCCCCCCCCCCCCCCCACCTCTCAGAATGTCAAGCATATTATGGCAACTTTCTCAAATATATAATTTACTTTAAAAAAAAACAGTTGATATTAAGAATATACAAAAATATAAATTAAAAAATTATAAATTAAAACCAATACTTTAATAAAGTATAATTTAAGCATTGCATGCTGGTATGTGTTAAATAAACGCGTGTAGCTAACGTAGCAGAATTCAAAAAGATGTTTTCAAATATAAAGTTACACGAGTAAAAAAAAATACTCTAACAGCAATATTGTTTTCCCTTTTAAAATATTTAACGATATTTAAAAAAAAAATTTAAGCTAGAAATGATGACGTCATTGGTAGAAAGTAAGCGTAGTTAGATTTGAAAAGAATTGTAAAAACAAGAGACAACAGACGACAAAAAAAAAAAAAAAAAAAAAAAAAAAAAAAAAAAAAACCGGATTATACTGGGATGTTTACGCACAGTTAAAAACCGAGCAAGCGGGCGAGAATACAACTCCCCAGGGGTTGGTATATGACGCCAGCTAAAACTGACGCCATTAATGGAGGGCAAATGTGGGAACCGAGCAATTTAGAACAAAAAAAAAGGGAAACGTTAAATAACGGATAAGCTTATTTGTTCGTTTGCTGGTGTGAATTGGGCTGGAGTTTGTCCATGTTTGTAAATTAAAAAAAAAGCACACAGCTGTAATGTAAATTGATGTGTTTACGAGTTAAATTGAAGCGTTTGTACATTTGTGTGGCTTGTGGGTTGATTTCCCGGCCTGTAATCCGCGGAGCGAGCTTCATTCTGACAGTTGAGACAGCCACACACAGGCACAATGGCAGTCCGATTACGTGGTTTCCGTACAGTTACATAAAGTTTCTTCATCATGGCAACCCGATTACATTAGGTTTCTGTCCAGTGTTCGCCATTGGAAGCCTACTATATACAATTTTTAAAATTCACAATGGCAGCCCGATTACATCAAGTTTCTGTTAACCATGGCACCCGATTACATGTTTCAGTTCACCATGGCAACCCGATTACATAGTGTTACCATTCTCCGTGACAGCCCGATTACATACAATTTCTATTAACTATGGCAATCCGATTACATAAAGCTTCTACTCACCATGGCAATCCGATTACAACTTGCTATTTAAGTTTAATGATAATCAAAGACACCGTAGATAGAAATGGGTTACAATTCTAAGGGTAAAATGGAGTACAAAAAAGTAATCGAACTCGCTGTTTGAAATATTTGGTACAACGGTACACATGGGCAGTCTGAAACGATTTTACCGTTACATAATTCGGTCCTGAAAGAAATAACATGACTACTGGCCTTCAGTTTTTGAAACAATAAAGGTATACTATAAAATGATAATTCAAAAAATAAAAACACACAAAAAAAAAAACACCGCGAAATGGTCGTGGTCTAAAAAAAAAATTAACGTTATTGAAATAGAGCGTGTTACTAAAATAGGGCATGCTTTAAGTTTTGACCACATCTATGATTTTAAAACAAGACTGGCTGATTTAAAACCAGAATGGATTTTATCAAACTACAAGGCATGTTTTAGTTTTGAACACACAGTGACGGCACCAGCGCATGTTACCTGCATTGACTGATAAAGAGGGAAAAAAAAGAATAAAGAAAATCATGACAGAATAAATGAAGTCAACAATGCAGATGTCAATGCTATGAACGTGCAGAGAACGTAAACACCAGGGGATGTTGTGGAGGGAGGATATGTGAGAGGGACCACG